AATGGAGAGAGGGAACCGGGGGGGGAGAGAGAATGGAGAGGGAACTGGGGGGGGGAGAGAGAATAGAGAGCAGTAAGTCACATGTTTCAAGAACAGAAGGAGATATGGACATTTTTATATCCATTTACAAAATATATTTCAGATGGACAGTGAGGTCCGTTATCACCGTCATCATCTGCAGCTGAAGGATAATTTGATTTCCGTAGTATAGCATGTAAATTGCTTTGTAGTCTTTGCCTGATTCCAACCACTTTATATAATTTAGTATACAAATGAAATAGAGGACTAACATCACAGCAAAGCATCTGAATGCTTCAAAGCAACATACATATAAAATGCCATGCCAAGCTATGCAGTTTGAAATGATGCATGAGTCCTTAGGAAGAATTGCTATGTAATATCATGGCTCCTTCTAATTATAGGCAATCTCAATGGAACATGTTCTAAGCATTATGTAGCCTGACCTTGGTTTTTACCCATGTAAAAAATAAAATAAAGCTATAGAACACTCTACTTTTAAAAGGACATTGTTATTGTTGTTCTGAGAAATGAAAGTAGGTTGCATAAAAAGATCCCATATGTTTTATGTGACTCAGACTCCTGCTGCTATGACTGCTATCTTCTTTATGTTGCAGATATTTAAAATATTGTATAGATAGAAATTCATAGACTTGAAAATACAGAGAAGTAGTAAAAATAATACATTTTAATTTTCATTTTGCATTTTTTTTTTTAAACAAGTAGACTGTTTCAAAGGGGGCCCCTTGGCATGAAAGGGGACATGAGATTTCTAGTATGAGAGCATGGTCAAAATAATGAGCAAGTCTTACACAATTCTGTTTAGGACTTTTATATCTCAATATGTGTTCCTGCACACAGCCCCTTTCTTAAAACTGTGTATTGGGATTGAATAAGCTGGTAGCAGCTGTGAGATCAGCTTTTTTAATAGTTCCCCTCATCAAAACTTAAAGGGACAATCCAGACCCCTAAAGCTCTTCAGCTTGCTGAAAAGCTTTGTGTCCCTCTGACCCCTTCCCTATCAATGAAAGTGTTAAAAATAAAAACAGCTTTTTTTTTACCTGCCTTTTTAGAGCGCTGAGGTCACTTTGCACTCTCTTTACTTCCTCCGACGTCATTTCGTGGTCATCTCACGTTCGGCAAGCCCCAATGCGAGAATTGGGCCTTAATTATTTAACCTCTGTGAAACAGCAGGAAGTGCCTCTAGTGGCTTTCTGGTAGACAGTCACTAGAGGCAGTTTTAGCCCTGCTATTGCATGTATTCAGGTTTAAGGGGACAGTGACACTGCACCCAGACCACTTAATTAAAGTGGTCTGGTTGCCTAAAGTGTCCCTGTAAAGACACAAACCTTGACTTCTAGGCAGCATTTATTTAACCCCTTAACGATGTTACGGCGTTCTATGCCATCGTATTTAAAGGGCTTTAAAGCTGTTGCGGCAGCATAGAACGCCGTAACGGCTTAAGCCCCCAGGAGATCGGAGGTACTTACCTCCTCCGCGATCCTCTTCTGGAGGGCTGCCTGATAGCCCAAGCACACCACCCCCGGCTGGATCTGCCAGCAGGGGGACTGTCTGAAATATCACAGTCCCCCTGCTGGTGGGAAAGGAAAAAAAAATAATAATAATTAGACGTGTAAAATGAATTAAAAGTATTTTTATATATATATATAAATATAAATTATATAAGTATATCTAATATATATATATATATACACATATTATATATGTAACGTCATACGTAATGTATTTTAATATTAATATAAGTGCATATATTAGTATTAAAATACACTTAGAATGACGTTACACACATATATATATATATATATATATACGTATAATTACAATAATAAAGTTATAAAATATTGAAACAAAATTTAATATAAATTATATATTCATATGTAATTTCATTCTAACTGTATTTTGTTATTAATATATATATATATATATATATGTATATGTAACAAAATACACTTAGAATGACATTCTATATACCGTATACGCACCGGCGTATAACACGCACCTCATTTTAAGAAGGAAATTTCAGGGAAAAAAAACCTTAAAGGACCACTATAGTGCCAGGAAAACATACTCGTTTTCCTGGCAGTATAGTGCCCTGAGGGTGCCCCCACCCTCAGGGACCCCCTCCCGCCGGGCTCTGGAGAGAGGAAGGGGTTAAACACTTACCTTTCTCCAGCGCCGGGTGGGGAGCTGTACTCCTCCTCTCCTCCTTGCTCGCGACGTCATCGGCTGAATGCGCATGCGCGGCAGGAGCTGCGCGCGCATTCAGCCGGTCGCATAGGAAAGCATTTACAATGCTTTCCTATGGACGCTTGCGTGCTCTCACTGTGATTTTCGCAGTGAGAAGCACGCAAGCGCCTCTAGCGGCTGTCAATGAGACAGCCACTAGAGGCTCTGGAGGCTGGATTAACCCTCAGTATAAACATAGCAGTTTCTCTGAAACTGCTATGTTTATAAAAAAAAAAAGGTTAATCCTAGAGGGACCTGGCACCCAGACCACTTCATAAAGCTGAAGTGGTCTGGGTGCCTAGAGTGGTCCTTTAAATTTCAAATAAAGAACTTCTTACCCCCCTTTCTTACTCCCCCCTCTTCTTACTTCCCCTTCCCCCTCTTACCCCCTTCTTACTCCCCCTCCCCCTCTTCTTACCCCCCATTCTTACTTCCCCCTCCCCCTCTTACCCCCTTGTTACTCCCCCTCCCCCTCTTCTTACTTCCCCTCCCCTCACCCACCCCTTTTCTTACTCCCCCCCTCTTCTTTCTTACCCCTCCCCCCTTTCTTACTCCCCCCTCCCCATCTCTTACTCCCCCCCTCCCCTTCTTACTCCCCCCTCCCCTCTATTCACCCCCTTCTTACCCCCCTCCCCTGTAGCGTGGCCGAGCCGCTCTGCTGTCCACGGTGTTTCCTGTACCCGGTCGGACTGACAGGAAGGTGCACACTGAGCGTGCACCTTCCTATCACTCCAGCCGGGCACCGCGGACAGCAGAGCGGCTCGGCCACGCTACAGGGGAGGTGAGTACCAACTGCAGCCGCCTGAGCGCTCTTGACAGAGAGCTCAGGCGGCTGCAGTATTTAAAGGGCCGGCGTATAACACGCACCCACAATTTGCCCCCTATTTTCAGGGAGAAAAAGTGCGTGTTATACGCCGATAAATACGGTATATCTATCTATATATAAAATACAAATAACCGCAAATATATATAAAGATAAATACATATAATTACATAAAAGTTTACATTAGTATACACGTAGAATTTAAATACCTATAAATGCATATATATTAAAATTCTATGTGTATATTTAAGTAATCTTTTAACATAATTATGTGATTTGATTAATTAAAATTTGATTGACATGCCTGACAACACAGGGAGAAAGGGCAGAGAATTTAATTTGCAAGCACTATATTTGACCCTGTAACTCTCTAAGACACCAAAAAACCTGTACATGGCGAGGGGGGTACTGTTTTACTCAGGAGACTTCGCTGAACTGAAATATTAGTGTTTCAAACTGGTTAATTGTATTACAACGATGATATTTTAAGTAAAAGTTATGTTTTTTGCATTTTTTTACAAATGAACGGCACTTTTATGGACTATATTATTGTTGTAATATGTTTTACTGTTTTAAAACACTAATATTTGTGTTTACTGAGGTCTCCCGAGAATAACAGTACCCCCCATGTACAGGTTTTATGGTGTTTTGGAAAGTTTGAGAGTCACATATAAGGCTTGCATTTCATTTTTTTGACATTGAAATTTGCCAGATTGGTTATGTTGCCTTTGAGAGTGTATGGTAGCACATGAATGAGAATTACCCTCATGATAGCATACCATTTGCAAGAGTAGACAACCCAAGGTATTGCAAGTGGGGTATGTCCAGTCTTTCTTAGTAGCCACTTAGTCATAAACACTGGCCAAATATTAGTTTTTTGCTTTTTTCACACAAAAACAAATATGAATGTTAACTTTGGCCAGTGTTTGTGACTAAGTGGGTTCTAAAAAAAGACTGAACATACCCCACTTTCATTACCTTGGGTTGTCTACTTTTTCAAATGGTATGCCATTATGGGGGTAATTTTCATTCCTGGGCTACCACACTGTCTCAAAGGTAACATTACTAATCTGGCAAATTTCAATTTGAAAATGGAACGTTCTATATTTGACCCTGTAACTTTCCAAAACACCATAAAACCTGTTAATGGGGGGTACTGTTGTACTCGTGAGACATCACTGATTACAAATATGTGCATTTTTTTTTTTGCAGTAAAACCTAACAGTATTATGACGTTAATAACTAAAATGTCAGACGGAAATACAGATTTTTTTTAAAAATTGTATTTTCTCACTTTTTAAAAATTATATTCCATATATGAATAGTTAATGATAAATTAAAGCCCTGTTTCTCCTGAACAAAATGATATATAATAAGTGTGGGTGCATATAATATGAAAGAGGTGAATTACGTTTGAACAGACATATAGGGCGAATTCCAATTTTGCACTATTGACTCCGTCCTGAAGGAGTTAATATTACATATTTATGGCTTTCCACTGTCGTTTATGTTGTACCTAATATTTGTTTCCTTTTTAGTTATGGAAAGCTGTTGCTTACCGGACAGTCAAGTAATCACCATAGAAACGGACGTCTACCTCTGTTTTCCAATCGTTCTAAGTCACATGATGGATGTTTACCACAGAATTCACTAACACATACTTTATAATGTCAAGCAAAGAGGAAGAGGTCTTCTCACTGGGAGTCACTCCACCACCGGCTAGTTCTTTTCACCTGGACAACTCAACTTTTCTATTACGTTTTGGATAAAACTGACTTACAAATGGATGTTTGTACTCTTTATTCATATTTATAAAGTAAACTTGTTCCTTTGTGGGTTTTTCCAGAAAGAAAAATGAAATTTCCATTTTATTGGCTTGCTATTAACCAAACAAAGTAATTACTTTTTCTGAGTATAAATCCAAAAATTTTTGGGCATGGCTACTGATCCAACGTGATTGCTTGGGGACCACCATTAGTCTCATGAGTGGGTATACCATGCTGCGAAATGGGGGTTTGGGAAATGGTGGCCAGCCCTGGATGTTACGGTGGTCCAGTAGGATAAGACTTTCTTGGCTCAGCTTCACATTGTTCATCATCCTGGTCTTCTTCCCACTAATTGCCCACTATTACCTCACCACCATTGACGATGCTGATGACGCAGGTAAGAAAATGTTTGTTCCACGTACGGTTAATGAACTCTGTGAAGTTAAGCATGTTCAGGACCTGTGTCGCATCCGAGAGTCGGTGAGTGAAGAGCTGCTTCAGCTGGAGGCAAAGCGGCAGGAACTTAACAGTGAGATCGCAAAGTTAAATCTAAAAATTGAAGCATGTAAAAAAAGTATTGAGAATGCAAAACAAGACCTCCTTCAACTAAAAAATGTCATCAGTCAGACAGAGCATTCATACAAAGAACTGATGGCACAAAATCAGCCAAAGCTTTCATTGCCAATTCGGCTTTTGCCAGAAAAAGATGAAGCTAACATACCATTGCCAAAGTCTAAAAGGAACTGCCGGCTGCATAATTGTTTTGATTACTCTCGTTGTCCACTTACATCCGGGTTTCCAGTTTTTGTCTACAACAGCGACAAATATCCTTTTGGGAACTTAGTGGATCCTTTAATCAAACAGGCCTTGGAGGCGAGTGTCAGAACTAATGTGTACGTGACCGAAAATGCAAATATTGCTTGTATATATGTAGTTTTACTGGGAGAAATGCAGGAGCCAATGATGCCAAAAGCTACTGACCTGGAGCAACAGTTGCACTCTCTACCGTATTGGAGAACTGATGGCCGCAACCATCTAATTATTAATTTGTCCAGAAAATCTGAAACCCAAAACTATCTTTACAATGTCAGCACGGGGCGTGCCATGATTGCCCAGTCCACCTTTTACGATGTACAGTATCGACCTGGTTTTGATATTGTGGTGTCACCCTTAGTCCATGCAATGTCTGAACCAAACTTTCTAGAAATACCATCCCAGGTACCAGTGAAAAGAAAGTACCTATTCAGTTTTCAAGGAGAGAAAATTGAATCTCTTCGATCAAGTTTGCAGGAGGCCCGTTCGTTTGAGGAAGAGATAGAGGGCAATGCACCAGCAGACTATGATGACCGCATTATTACCACTCTTAAAGCTGTCCAGGACAGTAAGTTGGATTTTGTCATGGTTGAGTTTACCTGTAAAAACCAACCTAAAGCAAGTCTGCCCACTGAGTGGGCTCTTTGTGGGGAAAGGGAAGATAGGTTAGAGCTACTGAAGCAATCCACATTTGCACTGATTATTACACCAGGGGATTCCCACCTTATTATTTCTGCTGGCAGTGCCATGAGACTCTTTGAGGCTCTTGAGGTTGGCGCCATACCAGTCATCCTAGGTGAACAAGTACAGCTACCCTATCATGATATGATTAGGTGGAATGAGGCAGTGTTAATAATTCCAAAACCACGTATCACAGAAGTACATTTTCTCTTACGGAGCATTTCAGATAACGACCTTCTCTCAATGAGGAGACAAGGACGTTTCTTGTGGGAGACCTATTTTTCCACCTCTGACACTGTTTTTAATACGATCTTGGCTACCATAAGGACTCGTATCCAAATTCCAGCTGCTCCCATTAAAGAAGAGCCAGCTGTGGAGATTCCTCACAGGTCAGGAAAAGCCGCAGGTACAGATCCAAATATGGCAGACAACGGGGACTTGGATTTGGGTCCAGTTGAAACAGAACCACCTTATGCATCTCCTAAATATCTGCGTAACTTTACGCTAACTGCAACAGATATCTACAGAAACTGGAATACTGCACCTGGTCCTTTCCATCTCTTTCCTCACACACCATTTGACCCTCTTTTGCCGTCTGAAGCAAAGTTCCTGGGTTCTGGAACTGGATTTCGCCCTATTGGTGGTGGTGCTGGGGGTTCTGGGAAAGAGTTCCAAGCTGCACTTGGTGGAAATGTACCTAGGGAACAGTTCACCGTGGTTATGTTAACATATGAGCGTGAGGAAGTACTAATGAACTCCTTGGAGAGATTAAATGGTCTCCCATACTTAAATAAGGTTGTAGTAGTTTGGAACTCCCCAAAGCTGCCATCTGAAGATTTGCTGTGGCCCGACATTGGAGTACCCATAGTGGTAAGTTCCTAAAACCACTTTAGAAGTGTATGTATATGCTATGTTATGCTAATGCATTTTTTTTTTATCTTAGGCAGGCTGTTGCTTGCAATAACTTTATGCATTAGTTAACAGCCTGATATTGTAAAATGTCTATATATTGTTCACGTCACCCACAATATCTAATTTGCTTTTGGACATAATTATTTGTGTATTCGGTTATTGCATTCTCAATTTTCTAATATTTGTGAGGGAAACCTGCAGATTTCTTTATCTGATTACCCTGTCCTAAAAAAAAAAAAAACTGTTTTGTTTTTTAAAGGTACATTTTGGGAACTAAAAAATTTAATTGGAATAAAGTTATAGTGCCAGGAGCTTTCTGGTTCCTGCTTACCTTCACGGGCTTAAACTCTTAACAAATGATTGAACCCCAATATATTCAGCCCTGTGCTGGTCAGCTCTGCCCCCCCCCCCATTTCAGTCTGAGGCTTCATACAGGGATTATGCTAATAGGCTCTCAGACTATCAGTATCTCCAAATTCATAAAACACAGTGAGAACATATTTTTCTCACACAGTTTTGTGAAGCTCTGCCCCTTTCTGAGAATTCATGTTTGAAGTCTTGGATTGCAACACAGTTTGTGAGGCAAAGCTGACCAGTGCTGGACTTAAGACTTTGAGGTTAAACCATTCGAAGGTAAGCCAGTGCCAGGGACCTCCTCACACCATACCTTCAGATGAAATTGTTACGGTACCCAGAGTGTTCCTTTTAAATACAACAATCCCCACATACAAAGGTACTTCCTCCCAGGCATGTGCAACATGGTGGAGTGACAGTGGAACATGCTTGTTAGGATTAAAATGAGAGGGGGTCTGAGAGACTAGCAGAGAAATAGCAGAAAAGAGATTGAAAACGCGATTGTGGAAAGATGCCGGTAACAAAAAACCTTGGATAAAGGAGAGACTTTATTTTTTTTTAGTTTCTTCCTCTGCCAAAAATGTGGGAAGAGATTGGAGGGATATGTGGAATACATGAGGGGGATGGGAAAGGGGAATTTTGCCAAGGACAGTAAAATTCCCCGTACCAACCCTGAGAAACATGAACATGGTGGCTTTGGTAAAACCTCTGTTACATTTAGTATGGTGTCATTTTGTGGTGGTCGAGTGGATGGTGTGGATTAGAGGTTATTGTACGTTAAAGCAAAATATCTTCTTTGTTGGTTGGATTTGTTTGCACTTTAGAACTTTTTGTGTATATATAGCTTGCAATTAACCCAATATGGAACCACCCTAAACCCTAACTGGCACGAGCAGTATCGCAAGCTATTTTTACGACCTTTATTGCTTTGAATTCCCCAACAGCTTTGAGGTTCATTGGTGCTACTTTGATCATGTCGGGCTTTTAAAATCCCAGCTTTCCTTGCAGGTCACGGTAACTGCTACAAATCTACCCTATGGCTTTAGGATATTTTACACTAACACACACATAGACAGCCATGTGTATTCACAGGGGGTTTTCTCCTTCTCATTGTTGACAAAATACATTTTGCGAAAAACATTGTTTGGGTAAAGATTTCTGCTGATTCTTAGTAAAGTGCACAGCAGTGTATAAACACAGATTTTGATGGGAACTAAAATCAAATTACCATGCTTCCTATCCCAAAAAGTACACAATGTATTTCTTAAATTTTTCCTTCTAGTGTCTTTTATAAAATCCCTTCTACTGTACTGGTCTCTACCACTCCTGCTGGAAATCTATCCTGCGTATATGTCACTGCCCCCTCCCACACCCTGCCCTGCTTTTAGAGCAGTTTGAATAAAAACAACCCATAAACGATTCTCAGACAACTATTTGGGATGAAAAAGAGACTTTGATTTAATGGCAATCTTTTTATTATTATTATTATTATTATTTTATTATTTATATAGCGCCAACAAATTCCGTAGCGCTGTACAATGGGTGGACTAACAGACACATAACTGAGATCAGACCACTGACGTACAGGAACAGAGGGGGTTTTATTAATGTTTTGTGCTGTTGATCCAATAATGTCCTAAAATGGAAGATTTTTCTTAACATTAAGAAACTGAGGCAAACCTATCTCCAGCTCTCTCGGCCTATCATTGTTTTCCAGTTCGGGCAAATTTGCTAACGAAAATGCATACGTATAGTTTCCACATTTTGAGTATGGTTTCTTTGGCTGCTATAGAGATATGGGTTGTGGATTTTTTATGGCTTGACGCCCAGGACATGTATTACCAGGCATATAGTTTTTTTCGGCCTTTGGCCCTTCTGTGGGCAAGCGACAGGGCTGGGAGTATAAGATCTAGGTCTCCGGCAGTTATAGATAAGTGATGCATCTAGCATGTACTCAGACTTCCTGAGTGCCAAACTGCAAGGGAGCTATTTCACAGTGCTCCTCCCAGTGGTCCAGACCCAGTTTAACCACTAAGAAATATAGCTAATCTAAGGGAGCAAGAGGGCAGCAAAATAGAATACCACACAGCCAGCACACACCGCACACCCTGTCATTAAACCTAGCCACCACCAAGCACTAAGGGGGAGGGAGGACAGAGGGCGAGACACTGAACTACAAATTCTCACAAAGCAAAACTGAGGCAAAAATAGCCTGTTATGACTATAGATGGATAACTTTTCCAGATCAGCTATTGTTCCCTCAGTTTTTCCATTTGGATCAAATTTGGGTAAATTCTGAGTTTAGTAATGTCCAGATCTAAATACGGTTTACCAAACTTTCACATTTGAGATTTTGTGTCAGGACAAGTAGATTGAGCTACCAGTTTAGTGTCTTGGGCAAGTAGATTTTATTTATTTATTTTTTATATTCTTTATTTTGATAGTGCAATGAGGTCAACAGTCGTGCCCGCAGTGCCACAACAGCAACTGCTGGCTATACATGGTATACAGTGTCATGACATATTCGTAAGTTGCACAATTTTATAAGTTAACTGGTCGATACAAATCGTACTATATTACCGGTAGTGATTAGTAGTAAGTAAATAGCTACATATCGTTAACATTTGTCTTCGTTAGAAAGGTTGTAACGTTTTTGTTTTTTAAAAAAGTAGTAGGTCCAGATGTTAATGTGATAGGTTAAACATATGAAAATAGTAATAATAATGTCTTGGGTGTGAGTGTGATAAGGTGTGGGGGTCGACCTATGTCTGACTGAGAGCGGGAGACCTGTCCGGCTTCCCTTTAGTCATGTTTTGGCTGCCAGAAGCTTGCAGTGTTTGGTGCCTTGTATTCCGTCGTTGCTAGGAGTAGGTTAGAGATTTGTCCCGTAGATGATTATTGCTGGTGTGCGCCTGATAATCTATAAGTATATCGCGTCTGTCCATGGTATATGTCTTTCTTTGCTTCCCTTGGGTTACGCTCTACCTCATCTATATGTTCATCTGGGTCGTACTTATCTCTGCGTAGGAGATGTCGTGTAACCAGGCTTGCTGTGTGGTGTACTGTTGTGGCAGTGTGTGTATAGTGTCCGTTTCCTACCCCTTCTCTCTAGGTTGCCTGTATTACCCCCTCGTCATTTTTTTTATTTTTTATTTCCACACCCCTAGAGATTTAGAGTTCTTGTTAAACCACTCCATGATTTGATTACAAAAAAATTGGGTCAGCAACCACAGACATATGGCACAATAACCACTTCAGTCAGCTGTAGTGATTATGGTGCTCTCCTTTACATTTAATGTAACTTTAAAAAAAAAAAAAAATCCTCTTTTCCAAACATTAAGAGCAGTAACATACTTATGAGCATTAAACTGTTTGTAAAATCTGTGGCAGTTGTTGTCAACATAAATTGGGTTCTTGACCATAATGTATTGTTTGAGTAAGGAATGTTTGCCATGACCTTTCACAAACGCTTTATTCGGCCTGTTTGTAAATTCAGAAATCATTTTCTGGGACTTCCGAATGGAGTGTTTCATACGTTAGGTTATTGTCCTATCTCCTGTGAAATTAGGAATGCATCAATATATAACCCCTTGGGTAAATTAGACTTCAACATACTTCCTGTATCACTTAACCCCTTCCAGGCATAGAAAGTTTACAGCCTAAGTATTCAAACTATGCTCCAGTTACACATTTTCTGTGCACATTTAGCCACGAGCATGATGTTAGCTGTTTTCATATTGTTAATTTTTCACCCCCGTGCTGGTACTTGGAAACCTGTGAACATATGGTTTTACAACCTAGTAGGACAGGATATTTTATGTTTGAATTACTCTTTGATGATGGGGAGGGGAGTGGGAGGAGAAGAACACTGGGGAGGGGAGTGGGAGGAGAAGAACACTGGGGAGGGGAGTGGGAGGAGAAGAACACTGGGGTGGGAGTGGGAGGAGAAGAACACTGGGGAGGGGAGTGGGAGGAGAAGAACACTGGGGTGGGAGTGGGAGGAGAAGAACACTGGGGAGGGGAGTGGGAGGAGAAGAACACTGGGGAGGGGAGTGGGAGGAGAAGAACACTGGGGTGGGAGTGGGAGGAGAAGAACACTGGGGAGGGGAGTGGGAGGAGAACACCACTATGGGACAGGGAAGGGTGGGAGGAACACTGAGGGGTGGGGGGGGGGGCACTAAGGTACAGGGAAGGGAAAAGGAACACTGGTGTAGGGGGGACCACTAAAAGAGAAGGGATGTTTTTCATATTAGATTCATTACATTCATTAAAAAGTCTAATATTAATAAAATTATAGAAAAAAACAATTTTAATATCATTTGGGGAAAAAAGTAATTTTCGGTTTTCGACAAAGGGAAACCTGAATTTTCTTTTTCGGACCAGAATTTTTATTTTGGTGCATCCCTATTCCACAATAACTTATTAACTATGCCAAGCTTGATTGTTGTGACTGCATTGACTGTCACTGTTCTTAAAGTGACACTGTCAATTATGGGTGACATTGCCACTTCTGTGATTCCTTGGAAGGAGAGGTTGAATGTAAATATGCATGCCCTCTCTCCTTGCAGATACCATATTGACTCAGACTTGAGAAGATGTTGCCAGCAACTCGTGTTTTCTTGAGCATGCACGAGAGTACAACTGGGACAGGGAGTTGTCTGTTGAAGATCATGTTAGCCCTGGATCTAAGATAGATAATGATCTTGCACACATGCAGTCAGGTGCCATTTGCAAGAAGATGCTCTCTCTCAACAGCTGAAAGGAAAAAGCAGGATGTGGTGGCAGAAGTTGCTTCTAGCTCTGTTCTTTACCACATTAAGACATAAATCTGCTCTTACATGAGACAAAACAATCTTTACTTTCTTGTGTGTGTGTGTGTGTGTATATATATATATATATATATCTATAGAGATATTTATGTATATTCTATCTATGTGTGTGCATGTGTTTCCTTTAACTGTCCACCACCATTACCAGTCCTCTGTCGCTATAGTTGTAAGATAAAGTGGGAAAATTCATCCTTTGTCAGTCATAGTAGTGGAAAAACCTAAACTGAAACCACAAGTGCCATTTTCTCAGTATATGTGTTTTCAGTATCCTGACCAGGTCTATTTTAGGAATGGACATTTGCTTTGTGCAATGCTTCTGGCCTCCTGTGACTCACACTTTTTTTGCTTCCAATGCATCCATGTTGCAGCAGGTCTGAGCTATGCAGTGTGAGTCAGGAGCACTGGCATGACTCTTCTCAGAGACCTTTACAGCCGCTGTATTAACTCCAGTAATACAGCGTGTGATTTGCTCTCACTGTTGTGTGCAATGATGCAGATACAATGATATCATCCATTCAATGATTCGTATAATGAAAACAAACAAAAGCCTTTTTGTACATCCAGCTCCTTAAATAACGCTGTTTTTTTTTTTTCTTTTTCTTTTTTTTTATTGTATCCAAGCACCATAACTGTTACAGCCCATTGTAGTGGTTATGATGCCTGGACTACACCGTCACACTCCCACAAACTGATTAAGAATGCTTTGGCCCAGTCGCCACTGCTACCTTCTCTGCAGCTGGCAAGCCTGGCAGTGTAGGGCAGCATGGTGGAGCTAACCTAGCTCCTGGCTCCAGAGGAGGCTGTAATTGGTACCAGATGGACCAAAGGTGAGTTGGGAAACTGTTCTTAAACTGGAAGCGCAATATCGCACTTATGACGCTGGAGAATTGGTGTTGATGTGGCGGCTACACCCAAATATAAAAGTTACATAATGACTTCTATTTTATCTGATATCCTAGGAGTCTGCTTTTTAATAGGGTGAAAATATTCTAAGCACTGACAAAAATATCTCCACTTTGTGTTATTTTAACTCTTGACAAATTTGTTTGGAATCTAGGAGCCAGCTAAAAAAGTTAGGAGCCTGTTGTTTTTAAGGGACACTGTAGTCACCAGAACCTCTACAGTTTAATGTAGTTGTTCTGGTGCCTATAGCTTAATTTTGTTGTGTCTATTCATACAAGTCTCTTCCTATAGTATTATCAGCCTTTATATAGCACCAACATATTACACAAAGGCTTGACTCACTTGCTTTGAATCTAGGAGCCAGCTAAAAGAGGTTAGGAGCCAGGATTTGTCTAATCTTCCAAAGCTTTATTTTTAACAAAAAAAAATACCAAGGGACACTATAGTCACCAGGACGACTACAGATTAATGTAGTGCTTCTGGTGTCTAGAACCTGTCCCTGCAGACTTTTCAATGGAAACATTATCTTTACAGAGAAAATGCAGTGTTTTCATTGCTGCCTAGTGATACATCTAGTTGCAGTCACTCAGACAGCCACTAAAGTGCTTTCTTTCTCAGTGCAGCACAGTGTGCAGTTCCAGCATTCATCGTCACCACGCTCTGCATGGAGGCGCTGAGTTTTCACCATAGAGATACATTGATGAGATGCTGATTGGGGCCACATTTTGCATTCATGCCCAATAGCTTCCCAATACTTTCCTATAGGAAAGCATTGGATTGGCTGAGATAATCAAGCTTGATGATCTCAGCCACAGATGTGGGGCGGGGCGACCGGCTCGGCGTGTGAAAAAAAGGTGTTTAACCCCTTAAGGACCAAACTTATGGAATAAAAGGGAATCATGACATGTCATGTGTCCTTAAGAGGTTAAAAACACCATTCCCATGTGATCTATAACATACACTGACAGACACACACTCCATGGGGTAGAGAGGAGGCGGGTGACCAGCTGCGTGTACTGCAGGCTGGTGGTCAGGGAGCTGTGATCTCCCTGCTCTACTCCCTCGCTCGCTGAATAGTAATGCTGGGCCGGAGTGATGCAATTTTCCTTCCCAAGCATCACTAAGTGATGGGAGCAGAGCAGGTAGATCAGAGCTCCCTCGTTGCCTGCCTCGGAGGGAATGGGCACACAAATTCCAGGCTCCCTGGGATTTGTTGGTCCATGTATTACACAGCATTTATTCGCACGACATGAATATGAAGATTGCAATCTATGAGGATTTAACGTAGGTGGGTGTGTGTTAGATTATTTCCTAGTTTACTAATATTGTCTCTAGCTATATTGATATGGCTTAGTCGCAAGTAGGCGTGCCAGCATGGCACAAAATCTTTTAGTGTGTGAGGGAGGTCTAGTATTGTCCTGTAGTATTGTCCTCCTATGTGAGGTTTCCTGCACTATTACTTCCAGGCAATATATAATCCCACAAGGTCCACCACTCTACTTCGAGTATTAATTAGCTCATACCCCAAGGATCTGGTATTTTGTACCAGTTGACAGCCCCAGCATCTAGTTCGGATTACTGCTGGTCACTTCTGGTGCTGTCATTTTTCTTTGCTCTATATATTATTTGGTAGAATTAATGGTTTATTAGATCTCTAGCAACTCTGTGTGTTTATCCTCAAAGTTGGTAATATTATCCCTTTATCAGGTGGTTAAATTAACTTTGTTTCAGAATAGTAGTTATAGTAATCTGGTTTATGCGTGAGGTTCCCTTCAAGGAAAAAGGCATCTCTTTCTAAACTAATTTTTTTTAAATCCATTTTTACTGTTTCTGTGCTGATAAATGACCTGTTAAACTGATCTACATCTTTTAAAACAGAGCAGTGAGAATGTATTGCTTATTTGCAAGTTATTCACGATCTTAGATTCTAATGGAGAACCTGACTCGTACAAGTATGGCAACCGTCTAGTGATCATCCTGATGTCAGACATCCCTCGTGCTTAAAGCGGAGCCGTCAGTTCCCAATATTGCTAATACAATAAATATGTATTTGTGAGGTGTGAAAAATAAAATTAAACATAGAAATCAACACCTCTATATCCTGCATCTGGCGCCTCCATCTTAGCTCCCTGTCAGTCGTTATAAGCTCTATACTGTGCACCAGGCAGTCAGCATAGAGAGAGCATACAGGAAAGAGGAGAAATGAAGCAATGTTCCTATTTCTTCTCTTAATTTGCAATATTTGCCCCGGTTGTGCCTTGTTTGTAATGGATTATGGTTTCCTTCACTAAAACATTGGTCAAAACAAAGCATGGCATTAAAAAAGGGAACATAAATTATAGGTAAAAATATTTAATATGCACATGGTGCTAAAAACTTACTGGAAAGTTACATTTTAGGTCAGTGTAGTGGGGTGCAAACACACTCGGCACTCAGTTGTATGGATTGATGTGTACTGGACAAATCGGCTGACAATGTAAAAAGAGAGGAGTTAAACTGAAGGTTTGCAAAGGCTTCTTACTGCGCTGCATTGGGAAGTCTGCGTTGAACAGCCAAAGAAAGTCTGGGGGAAGGAGAGTGGGCTTGCAAAGGCTGCAGACAAGACATTGCAGTTTTTGCAAGCTGTTTTTAGATATATCCCCCAATGTAAAAAAAAAATGCTTAAATAAATGTCTTTGCTTAGGGTATGCCTACTAAGTAGTGCCTTTTAAATTGTGTTGGTGCTCAGAGTGTTCAACTCCGCCAAAGAACTTGGTCTGCATAGTAGCCTCTACGTTTTCTTGTGTTTTAAGAAGGGGAAAGGGAAAATAGACTGTTTAAAAAAATAATATATATATATATATATATATATATATATATATATATATATATATATTATGAGGAACTTGGCATTCCATTACCATTTGCATCCATACAGCAGGGTTTTGTATGAGACATGTAATTACTAAAGAACACTCATTCACTTTGCAATACAGTGATTTGTCTAATATATTGGAAATGATGAGTCCTAATGTGTCTTATACCCCACCTCCTATAGACTGTAAGCTCGTTTGAGCAGGGTCCTCTTCAACCTATCGTTCCTGTAAGTTTTCTTGGAATTGTCCTATTTTTAGTTAAATCCCACCTCTCATAATATTGTAAAGCGCTACGGAATCTGTTGGCGCTATATAAATGACAATTATAATAATAATAATGAGCCTTCGGAAGATTAAATAGATCTGTTCTGCTTGTGGCCCTCGTAGATTTGTGAATTCATTATTATATTTGAGTGGGTGATTTTAATAGGTGTTTTTCTCTCTCTTCTTTTTCAATAGTATAATTCTAATAATGTCAGTATTGAGATCAGTTCCTCTCCAAAGGCAAAATGTGTCAGAATCCTGGTTTATTTATTTTTAGTTTAATGCATTGCAAATTTACTGGCCATGACTCCTAGCAATTAGACTGTGGTTTAGGATGTATATTTCCCTTTCATTTCGTGGTTACAGCCTCAAGATATGCATACATTGACAGAATAGTATTTTATTTTGCTTTGGCAAAAGGCTGAATTACAGATTTAAGATTGGTCTATTATAGCAGTTTTTTTCTTTATTACTGTTAAGAAAGGAGGATTTAATAACCCCATAGTCCTTGAGGGCAGGTGCATGTGAAAGGAAGAAGAATCTGTATTTAAAAAAATAGAACGTGAAACCACAATGTGACTTAAATATAATCCTGTAATTTTTTTATCAGTAACTATATGATAATACAGTGGTAGAGTTAGGAAGTCTATTTACCATACATTGTGCACCTGTAGCTTATAGGTTTGCTTTTCAAAATCTATTTGGAATAGAACACAGTGCGTAGTTTTGTTACATTGCGGCCCCTGTGCGCAAAAAAAAAAAAAAAATGTTCTCCGAATAATGGGGATTCTGGCACAAAATCTCAGCAAAAATGACACATACATAGTGATGACTTTTTTTAGTGCTGTTTAGGTAAACATTAGACAGGTGGAAAATGTTATCTCTTTCATAAATTAATCGATTCATCCCAATCAAAATCCTTTTAATCCACACCCGAATAAATCGATCATTCTGGGAAATAAATGGACGAATCTAATGACTTCGGTGTTGATTCAAAGGCTTTTGATTTAGACAAATCGATTTGTTTATGGGCAAAACTAAATTTTGCACGTCTAGTAATTTATTCTTGGATTCCTCCACAACACGAACAATGCCATGTGAACAATAGCTTGCTGCTCTGTAATTTATGAAGCCAGAATGAGTTTTCAAACATAACTGGGTGATATTTACATTTTGGAGACTGGTGATACTTGCTACTCATACTGTACATTGGTATACTATATGTGCAGATGCAATGGTTGTTAGCAATAATTGTCCTATCGATAATAGCCAGTATTCTATATCCAGGATTATATCACTTTGTGGTCATGACACATTTTAGGAAATTGTCCGTCTTCAAAGGAATACTAGATGGAATCTCTACCCTGCTAATCTCTTTGTCTCTGTGGGTATCGTTTTTAACGGTGTCATGCAGATACAGACTATAAGCATGAATTAACAGCAGATTAGAGGACCAGGGAATATTGAGCTAAGTGAAGAGCCAGACAGGGTAGACATAATGAATCTACAGCTCCAGTTGACACCATTGCAGGCATACTATGCAGGAAATACTGTAGATAACCACGAAAAATTACACTTCACTTTAATTGGCATATTCCAGCATCAAAACACTGTCTAGTAAACCATAAATATGTATGGAGCAGAGTGTTTAATATACTTTACAGTACTGCTTAGCACTAAAGGAAACAAATCCTAATCTTTTGCACCCTCACTGTATCCTGCTTTGTCTTGAAAGTTAAAGTGGCATTTTCACTTTCTGAGATCTTTAGTGCTGGGTGTCTCGTGGCTGTGGGATGTAGGGAAAATAAGCACTATACTAGTAAAGAGAAAGCTGTAAATAACTGATAAAATTTGTATCTTGTAATACCTTTTTTATTGTACTAACATAATTTCTCAATCACAACCTTTCGGGAGAACCTCCCTTTCTCAAGTCTAAAGCGACTTATGCGGCTACCATCTCTACTTGAACAGTAAAGAGATAGATATATAGATATATATTTTCCTTTTTTCTTCAATAGGGGTGCATCAGGAAATAGGAAGCTTGTACTGACTGCCTATGTAGTGTTTGTAGTGTTAATGGGCTTCCACTAAAATGTAAGCAAAAGGTTTGTTATAATTTTCAGTTCTAAAAGTACAACATTTTGAAATGGAATATTTTAGTAGTTTAAAACCATCTGGCCTGTATACCAGTATTAGTATCATACCACACACAATTCCTTGAAAGTCTTGCTTAGAAAAGGGCCATTCCACCCCCATTACAACTTCTTAATTAATGGATTCATTCAGACGTTGTCCATTACCTCTCCTATGTACTTTATAGTGTTAACCCCATTGATGCCGAAGGTTTCCTCGGTCGCTGGCTACTCTTTCATCCCATCACTGGCCACTCATTGTGTATAACCGTACACACTATTGCTTGCTATATGCAGCCATCGATAGGCTGGCCTTCAGCTAATCATCTCAGCTAATGAATTCCTTTCAGAGACGATTGTAATTGATATAATGCAGAAATAGGGATTACCACTTTAATGATATCTGTAAATCACTAATTCTCATCCTGAAAAGTGATTTACCATTGGTCAGCGCCAGGGGTCTCCTGTAACCATAACCACTAGAGTCTGCTGTAATATTTTATAAACCTAAGATGGTCCTTTAAAAAAAATGTGTTGGCCTTTGTGGCTGGGCCAGGCCTGTTTAGAGCTAGACCTGTTTTATGTATTTTCTTTTAGGAAAGGTGAAGAAGTGTGTATCCATGTAGTTCAATCCAAACTAATCATGGTCTCTTGGGCTTGCCTGGTGCTGCTGATCGCGCAGCTATGTACCAATAAAGGCATTAAAAATAGTCATATATTACACAAGTCGCTGATTTCGGCTGATGTAGTTCGGTTTGCTTTTGCAGTTATTTTCTCTTTGGGTTCCAACGTGCATAACACAATCACTAAAATGCAATAATATGGGGCAGTTATTGGCTCTTGTACCAAACATCCAGTTGTGCTGTTACTTTAATTGTCAATCAGTCATTTTGTGAGGGGTGTCATTTGGTTGATGCAGTATTGGGGTCCAACGTGGCACGACATGAAGAATGCATAGAGAACATCCAGTGCAGGATTTAATCCCTAATTTAAACATCCCTTAACCTAATCTTGTGATTTCATGGGTCTGCCATTTGGGAATCACCTCTCATTACTTCACTGGTGAAAGCTGCTGTAGAAGTTGTGTTATTTTGGCATTGTGTTCAATTAAAACTCTATTTTTATGCTGTCTTACAATAAACTGTCTGGGTTCCTTGCCAGTAACCAATACCACAATGACTTTGCCTTTCAAATTTGGGAGGAGATAAGCACCAATTTAGCTGTCCTCTCCTAAAATATATACATATGTCACATCTGTCACCAGCAGGGACACTGACAGGTTGATGTTACATGATGTATGGCATTTAAGCATCTATAATTAAAAGGGCAATATTACGACATAATGACCATGAAATGTAGATGTGTTTTAATGGCATGTAGTTTGGCATAAATGTAATAGAAATCTGTATATATTGATATATAGGAACCCCTATGTGTTTTTTATATATATATATATATATTTAGTATATTTTTGTGTCGTGTGACACAAAAATATACTAAAAGCTTTGCAATTCTACAATCTGTGGAGGTCAGCTTCAGACTGTGATCTGGAGACTTTCACTCTAAGATTGAGGGTTAAAGCAATACTGGGCAGGGTTACCATTTGTCTTTATTTATTTATTTATTTTCTTTAGAGGAAAAAAAATATCCTTTTACTCCCACCTCTCACACTTATGTTAAGTCCAAATGAATTTTTTTTTTTTTAAATCAGGTGATCGAAAAATAAATCCGTACTAATGCCATGATTCTTGGTTTAAGGCTGAATTTAAACACAAATGAAACAGAAAATGTTGACGTCCGTTTCCTTTTAATGAGTTCCTTTGGAAGGGCATTGCACATTTGATCAGACGATGTTTCCTTTATAGATGGATACTGCAAATCCCAGTCTTGAGAGAGATAGACTGACTTATATAATATATAAATATATAAATCCTTCCCAAACCCACTTTTTACCAGCACCATCTGTTTTCCTCTGTTCACAAGGAATAGTATGTGATATATTGGTTTACATATTGACTTACTAAAGTTTAATGTTTATTACTTTCTAGTAGCACTAAAATAAGAAAAAAAAATGTATGCATGTGCTTATATTTAAATTAATAACTGAAAAGGTTATTTGTAACAATACCCCCCAACATTCTAAGTGTACAAAGAGGGACACTGTAACTTTAGGGGTGTGAGAGGGTGTGTGGCCATGGGCGGGCCTGTTCTGAGACATTTTAGGTGACTTACTAATAGCAATTTATACAACGAACAATGTATCTTATTTACACAGACTGATTTCTAAACCCATTTATTGTAGCTGAAGACACTATACTGGGAGTATTATTGCTGTGGAGCTCTGTTATACACTCTGACACACCAACAATATGGAGCTCCTAGAATAGTCGAACACACTTCGACTTCTGTCGAAGTAAAACAGGGTTAAATTTACACGGTGGTCATTAGTTGAGTGGCAGTCTATTTTACATGAAAAAGATGACGAATCTTCGAATGGGACTTAGTCTCCAGCCACAGTGTCAAAGGGTAGGGGAAGGTATGGGTCAGCGGTGTTCCTTCAAATGTGTGGCTGATTTCCGTTCCAGGGATTTGACGGCACACACCACTGACCGCGTTCGACTGCATTAAATTGGCAGCCACTTCGGCTGTATCCAAAGTGCCATATCAAACGTACCCATTCTTTGCACAACACAGTTAAAGGGCCAGAAACTGTTTTTGTTCTTAGGTGCAGGGCAATGTGGATGATGGCAGGAAAACAAAAGGTAGAGGTTCCCAGGCAACATGGTAGGAGGCTGGTATAACATATATTACAGATCCAACGCAAAACAGGGGGATTTGTTACACTATACACACACTGGCACAATGATACACACATTGGCACATACACACTGATACACACATTGGCACATACACACAAATACACAAACTGTGACACATACACACCTTAACACACAGATACACAAACTGGCACAGGTACACAGACACACACACACATTTATATTTGCAGTCACCCTCCTTGCCTTTTTTTTTTTTTTTTTTTTAGGGGGGTGACTTCCTTCAGTGCTGCTGGCTGAGGCAGGTGTGCCAAATTGGCATCTGCCCTGTACCCGTTGCGCGCACTCTCTCCCTCCCTCCCTCTCCCTCCCTCCCCTGTCATTTCCTCCCGGTATCCCATACTTCAAGGGACCTGGTCGCGGTCTTAGACGGCCACGGTGCCTGACCAGACCCATGTTTAACGATACCCATCAAGTGGCCTGAAATGCTTGGGCCACCCGATGGGCGATTGCTCTCTTCAGCGGAATGCCTATTGGGAAACGCTGGCCGAGGGACACCTCCAGTGGCAATAACTCAGATGACTAATAGATGTACTTCCTGGGTCAGTGCTGCACTGTTGTTTAGTGTCTCCACACTCTGCATGGAAACGCTGAACATTCCTCGAAGAGATGCATTAATTCAATGCATTTCTACAGTTGTAATCAAAATTATTTGACCATCGTTGAAAATCAGGTTTATTGTCAAAATGTACAGACTTTCAGCTGTTTGCAATGAACAATTCAAACAAAAGCAATTGAAATAGATCAACACAATGAATGCTTCATGTGGTTTCTCCAAATTCAGTTGTGAAATTTGTCACAAAAACCTGACTGTTGAATTTCTGATATTTTGTAAAAGGTGTTTGAGAGATATTTATTGTATGTTGAGGCTTAATAACCATGTGCTACTGCTGTGTATGGGGGAGACATTGGCAGGTAAACACCGTGCAGTTACCCTGCATCTCTGGTTTTGCCCCCCACTTCACTTGTTCAATCTGTGTTTCTTTATTGTACGTGTTTTCCTGGGGCTGTAAGAATGCAGTGTTTATAGTGGTTAGGCATGACTGAGAACAGCCCTGATGCAATTCTTGGCAGGAAGTGGGAACCAGACATTTAATAAAGGCTGAATGTGTGTTTGTGGGAGTTTTTCCAGTAACAATCTATTTGACCTTTCACTGGTAGATATAATTACCTCTTCCGTGATTCCTGTTTTTCTAGCTTTCACCTATCAGTACAGTGAGATTGTGAAAAGGTAAGCGCGTACTGGATGATCATATTACTGACTTGGTATTCTAACAATCCAGTTTTCCTTATTTGACCTTCAGTATCCTTCATCATAATGCAATGTGTAACCTGTTAAACCACTGACTTTGGCAGGAAGACAAACTCAAGCTGGGAAATGCACTAACCTTTTATTTCCCAGAGACCACTCTCACAGAGTTTTCTGATCCATAGGTTTTTATTCATAGTGAGAAAAAAACCTCGCTCCCATGAATAGAAGCCATTCTGTTTTCTTATTTATATATGTAATGAATACCATCCACTTTGTCCATGTGAACACCACTAACACTGTCTCTTTAAGGGTTGAACGTGACCCTTTATAACTTTTGTGTATCAGATTGTTGTATGGACTACTGAATGGAATATTATTTTATTTATTTTTTATGAAGATTGTCAAATTAGCTGTCCTTTTGCTCAACCCCCTTTGTATAACTCAGGTGTTGACTGAACTCAGGCTGACTTTAGTCATAGTCACACAGTACAGGACATAGAATTTGATTAGCATTATCTTATTGCCACTAGCAAAATAAACTATTGATTTCCCAAAGTGCCTCTATTTACACCACTATCATTTTAGAAACCAAATGAGTTTTTAAAAATAACCGTGCATTTTATAGCCCAAATTTTATTTTATTTTTTTTATAAATTTTTTATTTTGAATTTTAGATAGTGTACGTTTTCGGGGTGGGGGTACAGAAAGAAAGTAGGGGGATATTGTTCGTGGTACAGGCATGCATCACATTCAGGTATTGTACACAATGTATTGACTGTCCACGTGCAAGTGGAAGTTGTTCCGTAACATCTTTAGCATATTTACATGTCCAGTGTTCTTTTTCGCTCTCGTGACAGTTTGCAATCCTGTTTCTTTTAGGGTTTGGGGTGGGGTACAGAGGTGAAAGAGATGGGGGAAGGAGTGCCCTCTCGTAGCGGTCTGTTGCTTATATTTTGAGGTATTTCTGTGGCTTGGTCCTGTCTTGTGGTCTGTATGTCCTGTACCTCTTAGTTGTGGGTATTGAGTTTTGGGATAGCCCAAATTTTTTAGATGCATTTATAATACTGTAAACAAGAACAGGTCTTCAAATACCAGTTTGTGCTTATATCCAGATGCCTAACCACCAGTTATACTGTTTTGGACCTATATATGTTGAGTGGGTTATTAACAAATCTGTGGATATTTACAGTCACAGGACATTAGCTGGGTTTTTCTGTACCTGGCAGCTTTGAGTGGATTACCCCGTATCCTCTCACTGTGCACAGAGAGGGAAAATGAGTGTATTTCCAAAGAGTTCACAGGACAATAATGGCCTTTACTTCATGCACCAAGAGATGGCAACAACAGGTTTTGGGGACTGGTGAGGTGTCTGATAGCCACTTACATCCGTTTCCATCAGGCATACACACTGTATAAATGAATCAGATGTTTAGATTTCTAGTGTACGCATTTTGGTTTGTAGAATCCCCTAGTTATTTAGAACATAACATTTCTTGTTCCAAATGTATATGTGCACATAATATTTATGTATGGAGGATGAAAATATGTATGCATAGCTTTTGTAGGTCCATGTTCAAGGTTCTATTTCGATTGTTTATTTTTGCAAATGCCTTCTAGGCATAGAGTCAGTGATTTTCTTTTCCTCTCCTTGCAGCTGTTGCAACCCTTCTATTTCTTGTTATAATTTCCTCTCCTTATCCTGCTGTTAAACTGTTTATTCAGAGATGCAATGTGCAATTTTTAAACTATAATTTGCACATTGTTCCCATTATTGGAAGTTGTTTGTTAAACTTTTTTTTTTTTTTGCTAAAGCCATGGAGGGCCAGAGTTAGTTTGAACAGATAAACAGTCTGCGAGTGTTATGGTAATAGTTTGCATCTGGCAACACAAAATGTTGACCTTTGTTTAACTAAGAAAATTACAGTGATGTTACATTTCTGGGGTTTAAGGATGAATTGATCATTTCATGTGTGCTCACTAGCTAACGGTTAGGCCATTCCATAAGCTCCTAAAATGAATTTCTTGTTTTCCGTCCATTATGATTTTGAATTGATTGTGGTTTTGATAATTTTATTCAATTCACCCGCAATTGGCCTTGACATACACTTGTAGGTTTCTCTTAAAAAAACACTTTACGGTTCACTCAGTGATAACAAGGTGTCTGCTTAGAAGCATTGTTACATAATGTTTGAGTCATACATGTGGGTTTTTTGTGTTTAGTATTACTGTCCCCTTCCACTTTGTGTTTCATTTAATCTCTCTCTACCCCCTCCCTTAAATTCCATTTCTCATTAAGGCATCACTGTCACACACAACCCACTCCCCTTTTTGCAAAATGAGTATCCAAAAGCGGGACGTCAAGGAGCAAATCTGGACAGGACCTGAAATCACATGCTTGGTTATATACGATGAGCTAGTTTCTGTCATTCTAGTCAGTATGCTTATAGCAATAGTTTGTCTCGCATGTATATTTGCGACAAGTTCCATCCAGTTAGCTTGAGAATAATAAACTGCAGGTCAGCTGCAATACAGCCACATGCAGAAAATTCTAATTCCAGAGTATAGCAGTATGTTGACACAGCTAGGATTTGCTAAAAGGCTAAAATGCCTAAATCATTTAGCGTGGGCGGTTGTGCTGTGGCCTGCAATACTGATCTGCCTTATCCACATCCACACATGTTGCTCTATTGCCTGTGTGCTCTGTGTGGAGGAGACAGGGTTACAATGTAAGGTCGCAATCCTTCTCTAATGTTAAAACACAGTTCCTCAGCTGGACATGTGAAGAGGATGAATAAGTCTGATCTGCATTAACAAGCCACAGCACAACTGCTCAGGTTGCCTGATTTATGTATTGTAGCAAGTTGATGACACACTGTCTGCCCACTGCAGTGCTAATTACCCCCCCTACTGCCTGCCCCCACAACTCACTTGTTTCATAGTTTGAATGCAGTGCTAGACTATTCGTTCCCAACATGCTTTGGTAAACTCATACCCTCTGATGAGCTGCGTTGACGAAACGCTTGTGAAGTTTCTCTCTAATACTTGTTCTATCATGACACGTCTGGGACCTGTATCTACTAACATTAGGAACACCAGTGGGCTGCCCTCAGAGGCACAGAGGGAATAATTTGATTTAGTACCAGTTTTAGACCTACTCCCTATTAATAGATCTTCTGGTGTTACCCATGTTTAGCATTTTCTTTTGCCGTTCATCACAGTATTCTTGCAACCACTTTACCATTTAAGGCCACAATAGATGATTATTGCTATACATTTATGTTACGATCTTGGGCAGCAGTGTATCTTTCTAGCCTTTCCCATTACTGGTAAATAACACGATGTTTTAGTGTTGTACTGCCTGTTTTTATTCACTTTGTACCCCTGATGATAAGTTAGCAATCCTTCATTTAGCCATTATACCCCCCCAAAATACTCACCAAATGTGATTTATTATCAAATGGTTTTTGCTGACATTTGAGTACACTAGTTTTGTACCACTTGTACTTAACTGGAGTAACACTTTTTTAGACAGCCCACTGTATGACATTTACTTTTAAAATGCACCATTTAGGTATCAGTTCACAAGTGTGATTTCTATGTATGTTTGTATGCACAGATATTTTTATTATTTTTTTTTTTTTTTTAAAAAGAAACACTTTAAAAGTGTTTTCATGTATATTTGAATAATCCATTGTTCCTCTCATCTCCTTTCATTAACTCTCACTGCAATACTCTTTGGTTTTCTCTTTTGTGGCTATAAATTTGACAGGGGTCATCCCCCAGTTTGGAATGTTCTTTTCTTTTTTGAATTTCAAATTAAAGTCAAGTATGTCTTCAATTTGATAGATTATTAGATTATTTATTAGATATGAAATCACTTTAGATTCTTTACAATGCACACTTTAAGGACTTACCCTGCTTGTATGGGCCATCCAGATGTAATGTAATGTGAAGGAGCATACGCAAGTACAGCAGGAAAATGCTCTTTTAGACTGTATGACCTTTACTTTCTCAATGGATAATCGACATATCTAAAACCCTGTAGCCTGTATCAATAGAAGAAATCTCTATATTGAATCCAGCCTACTTGCATACGTACACATTTTACTAAGTGAACAGTGCCGTGCAGCTTCCTTCTGAAATAGATCTTTATTTTGTCTATAGACGTGCAAATGATAGGGGAAGACTTCATTTCAGCCCGCAGACTAAGCGTCAACAATCAAGGAAAAAATGTGTTGATGCATTGGCCTTTTGTGTTTGTGTACTTAGTACTGCATACTTCCGTAAACTGCATGTCCCGTGATTCTCATACAGGTCGGGAGAAAACTACAAATTTCTAGAAGCTGTGGCTACCGGTCTCGGATGTTTGTAAAGTTTTGCATGTTTAGTACACATAAGAAGTGCACTGTTATTCTATATTGATGTTTAGTAACCTTGTATGTGTTGAATAGAGGGCATTTGTTGCTGTCTGTCTGATTACACCTCTGTACTTTAAATATTTGGCTTTTGTGTCCATGAACCTTTTTAATTGCAGAATAGAATTGCTTGAGCTATAACCGCTATTGTCTACTCTCATATTTTAAATACTGTCTGAACTTGTGTTGAAGAGCAATATATTGTTTCCACGCACAATCTCACATAATGTGTATAGCTAAATTCGGTATATTCATATTGCAGCAAATGGAAAGCTTAAGCTATGTCCCTCGGGATATAGATTGTTACATAACACATTGTTTTATAATTATGTACATTTTGTTTGCTACTGTCTCAAAAAGTCAGTTTGAAACAATATTCACAGCAGATAATTATTTTCATGTAACCAAACTAGAATTACCACTTGTAGATCTAATATAACAATTTCCACACCCTGGTGATATTTGCTTAAAAAAATAATGTTTTGGAGAATGTGATGTCACTGCCAGTCAGAATCTGATTTGCTGATTGTCTCCCGTCTTTCCACTGTGGAGGTTGTTTGAACTCTTATTTGTTGTGTTCAAAATTCCCAAGGGGGGGAAAACCCTGTTTTTAAACGCATACCTGATGGTGCAGATAGGTCAGCATCAATGTAACCCAGTGTTACCTTGTACCACAACCCACCAGTCTTTGTCAGATTTGTCCTAAGCTAAGTGATCACCAATTTTCTCTGTACTGGGATAAATGACTAACTTTCAGCTTTTAAAAAGAAAAAAAGCAGCATTAATAAAGCAGATATGTCACCTCACCATTGAATCTCATAATCTTCTTGAAATAAATTTGACCGTGTTGGAATTTTGGAGTTTTATTGCAATTTAAACAAAGTCAGACGCTATCCTAAGACAAAGTAGAGATTACTTTCTCTTATGGTAAAGTCTGAGGCTGGCAAAACATTAGAAATGGTGAGGCTTCTTCCTTCCAGTGTTTTCAGATCATTAGCAAAGATGATAGGAATCAGGCTGCTTCTCGCAAGTTAGGCTTGCAGGGTCTTCTGTTTCTATTAATGCAGCTGCTAGTGGATAAAAACACCTGGAACTGGATAAAGAAGATGGTGGCGCCCGTGGAGGGACCCCCACAAGCAAATTCACTTCACCTTGGACCTCCACATCCCAAGCAGAGATATCACCTCAGGGGATCTTTGTGTAGAAAATTACCTTTGATAAAGTGTACTAAATTAGACACAGTTTACAAAACATTGATTGTTTAGACAAAAACAAATCCCTCCAGAATAGCACCCAGTGCCAGCTAATTTCACTATGAAAAATGTCACAAGGAAATGTGTCACGCAAAATCTGTATTTATGATCTTGGCAAAGTGTTGTGTTTTGTGAGAGGAATAATTAGAGTTTAAATTTAAGATATATATTAAAATGTTATTTTAAATGTTGGTTATATACACCCCCACTTCCCCATTGATAGGGTAAGTGTCTATAAGGGAGTGAGCCAAAACAATGTTCATTCCTCCTCTCCCTAAGTTAAAGGACAACTATAGTGCCTTGAGGGTTCCCCCACCCTCAGGGTCCCACTCCTGCCGGGCTGGATGGGAGTGGGACCCAGCGCTGGGCTCCCTCGGTGCTGGAGACTCTCCTCCTCCGAAGGTCGTCATCGGCTGAATGCGCAGGCGCGGCAAGAGCCGCGTGCACACTCAGGCAGTCCATTGGAAAACATTCTCAATGCTTTCCTATGGACACTGGCGTCTTCTCACTGTGAAAATCACAGTGAGAAGCACGGAAGCCTTCTAGCGGCTGTCAACGAGACAGCCACTAGAGGCTGGATTAACCCTAATGTAAACAGCAGTTTCTCTAAAACTGCTATGTTTACAGCAGAAAGGGTTAATCCTAGGTGGACCTGGCACCCAGACCACTTCATTAAGCTGAAGTGGTCTGGGTGCCTATAGTGGTCCTTTAATATTGATATCAAGATACATTTCTTTCATTTTAATTGTGATCCTGCATTTATACAATAGGGTTTAAAATCCTAAATTGTGATAGAAAATGGTAGCGGACTAGAAAGGTATGCCTTTTAATATGTACAGCATATAAGAGCTGCGGGCATGCTGTAGAACAAAATACACTGCTCAAAAAAATAAAGGGAACACAAAAATAACACATCCCAGATCTGAATGAATTAAATATTCTTCTGAAATACTTTGTTCTTTACACAGTTGAATGTGCTGACGACAAAATCACACAAAAATAAAAAAAAATGGAAATAAAAATTTTCAACTCATGGAGGTCTGGATTTGGAGTCACACACAAATTAAAGTGTAAAAACACACTACAGGCTGATCCAACTTTGATGTAATGTCCTTAAAACAAGTTAAAATTAGTCTCAGTAGTGTGTGTGTGGCCTCCATGTGCCTGTATGACCTCCTTACAATGCCTGTGCATGCTCCTGATAAGGTGGCGGGTGGTCTCCTGAGGGATCTCCTCCCAGACCTGGACTAAAGCATCTGCCAACTCCTGGACAGTCTGTGGTGCAACGTGACGTTGGTGGATGGAGCAAGACATGATGTGCTCAATTGGTTTCAGGTCTGGGGAACGGACGGGCCAGTCCATAGCATCAATGCCTTCGTCTTGCAGGAACTGCTGACACACTCCAGCCATATGAGGTCTAGCATTGTCTTGCATTAGGAGGAACCCTGTGCCAACCGCACCAGCATATGGTATCACAAGGGGTCTGAAGATCTCATCTCGGTACCTAATGGCAGTCAAGCTACCTCTGGCGAGCACATGGAGGGTTGTGCGGCCCCCCAAAGAAATGCCACTCCACTCCATTACGGAACCACTGCCAAACCGGTCATACTGGAGGATGTTGCAGGCAGCAGAACGATCTCCACGGCATCTCCAGACTCTCACGTCTGTCACATGTGCTCAATGTGAACCTGCTTTCATCTGTGAAGAGCACAGGGCGCCAGTGGTGAATTTGCCAATCTTGGTGTTCTCTGCACGGTGTTGGGCTGTGAGCACAAACCCCACCTGTGGATGTCGGGCTCTCATACCACCCTCATGGAGTCTGTTTCTGACCGTTTGAGCAGACACATGCACATTTGTGGCCTGCTGGAGGTCATTTTGCAGGGCTCTGGCAGTGCTCCTACTGTTCCTCCTTGCACAAAGACAGAGGTAACGGTCCTGCTGCTGGGTTGTTGCCCTCCTACGGCCTCCTCCACGTCTTCTGATGTACTGGCCCTTTCTCATGGTAGCGCCTCCATGCTCTGGACACTACGCTGACAGACACAGCAAACCTTCTTGCCACAGCTCGCATTGATGTGCCATCCTGGATTAGCTGCACTACCTGAGCCACTTGTGTGGGTTGTAGACTCCATCTCATGCTACCACTAGAGTGAAAGCACCGCCAGCATTCAAAAGTGACCAAAACATCAGCCAGCAAGCATAGGAACTGAGAAGTGGTCTGTGGTCACCACCTGCAGAACCACTCCTTTATTGGGGGTATCTTGCTAATTGCCTATAATTTCCACCTGTTGTCTATCCCATTTGCACAACAGTATGTGAAATTGATTGTCACTCAGTGTTGCTTCCTAAGTGGACAGTTTAATTTCACAGAAGTGTGATTGACTTGGAGTTACATTGTGTTGTTTATGTGATCCCTTTAATTTTTTGAGCAGTGTATATAGTTATTTCACTCTTTATAAAGCTCCATCTTGGTCTACAGCAGTCTGAAGCAAGAGGGTAAGAGTGGGATAACAGTGTTGAAACGACTCTGGAATGCCTAGAATACAAGTTTTTGCTAGGGCCTGGTAAAATATATTCAGGCATTTGCTCCACACCTTTTGTGCTCCACCTGTGCACAGCCCGGTGAAGTGACTTAGCACTAAAAATCTTCCCCAAATTACTGTTACGGCTGTTTATACATCATCTCTTTCACAGCATCCGCACAATCCCATATACCTGTATGAAGCAGTAAATGAGTATTTAGTGCCATAACAGCCATATACTTCAGTTACTGTAAGGGTATATTGACAGTACACATAGATAATATGATTATTAAAGTGACCTGAATGAAGTGCTGACAGAGGCCAGTGATTGGGGACCGTTTCTCGACTGTGGGATGGAAAGGCTCTATATTGTAAGTTGGAGCGGATGTACTTATTACAGATAACCACTAAAGAATGTTACATTCCCCCTCCGAAGATTAAGAACACATGAGATATTTCACATCTGGAGGCAGTCACCAATAGACTGCAATGTTGCCGCATGTTATATTTCTACAGTCTGTATAGTAATGATTTATTTTAAAACATGCCTATCAGTTTGTCACTAGAGACCCTCATACTGGCTCTCGCCCACACGGCTAAAAGTAGTGTATTAGAAATGCACATAACTAAAAAAATTCTGTATACAATAATGTTCTCATGTAAAATGATAAATGCACTTTGTGTGTTTGGAGAGAGTTTAATGTATTTTCAGACAGCATCGACCAGCTTGACAGGTTTAATTAAAAATGTTGTAATACTGCAAAAACCAAACATTTACCCTATCTTATATGCCTATAGGGATTGCTTTTTGCACGACTAAAGGAATATGACTATATGATCACATTGGATACATTAAGATTGTGTTATGGTTTGTGTTTAGGTTTTAGAATTTGCTTGTTTTGAATTTTGAACAGTCATTCTATAGTCTGTCCTTTATTCGTATTCATGTGTAAATATATTGATAGATTTTATTGAAATAATGTGTTCAGTTTTTGGAGATTACCAAAAAAAAAATTTCTAATGTAATGTAGACCCGTTTTAGTGTATATGCGGCAACATTAGTCTATTAATTGCCAGGTGGGAATCACAATTTCAATTCTGACTAAATATATATCATTATTTATTATTATTACTGGCATTTATAACGCACCAACAAATTCCGCAGCGCTGTACAATTGGGAAAAAGACAAGCACAATAAGAACAGGCCGATACAACAGGTAGAAGGCCCTGCCCGTGAGCTTACACTCTAAAGGTTGAAATGGGGGCACTGGTCCAGGGTCCGCCCACGCTTCTCTGACTGCACATGTGCGGCCGCCGGCGGGGGAGACTATGCATTTGTGCAGCAATGCCGCGCACGCGCATTAGACCTCCCCGTAGGAAAGCATTGAAAATAGCAAAAGGACATAGCAAACATAGCAAAAGGACGTCCATCGACATTATAGAAAACAGAAAACCTGTGCTATGAACCAGGAAGTGCCCTCTAGTGACTGTTTACCAGACAGCCACTAGAGGAGGAGTTAACCCTGCCAGGTAATTATTGCAGTTTATAAAAACTGCAATAATTACACTTGCAGGGTTAAGGGTAGTGGGAGTTGGCACCCAGACCACTCCAATGTGCAGAAGTGGCCTGGGTGCCTGGAGTGTCCGTTTAATGGTATAACTGCAGCAGCTGATAGAATGTGAAGGTGATAGCAGGAGGTGCATGCTATATAGTAAGAAGGAACCAGGGTGGGCGGGTAGAGCAGAGTAAAATTAGATGGCCTTCATTTTGCAGGGATGGATGGTTTGGGTCTTTTAAAGCTGCTGTGTTCAAAATTAAATGACATATATATACATATACACACACACACAGTTTAAAGAAAAAGTATGTGAACCCTTTGGAATGATATGGATTTCTGCACAAATTGGTCATAAAATGTGATCTGATCATCATCTAAGTCACAACAATAGACAATCACAGTCTGCTTAAACTAATAACACACACAGAATGAAATGTTGCCATGTTTTTATTGAACACACCATGTAAACATTCACAGTGCAGGTGGAAAAAGTATGTGAACCCTTGGATTTAATAACGGGTTGAATCTCCTTTGGCAGCAATAACTTCAACCAAACGTTTCCTGTAGTTGCAGATCAGACGTGCACAACGGTCAGGAGTAATTCTTGACCATTCCTCTTTACAGAACTGTTTCAGTTCAGTAATATTCTTGGGATGTCTGGTGTGAATCGCTTTCTTGAGGTCATGCCACAGCATCTCAATCGGGTTGAGGTCAGGACTCTGACTGGGCCACTTCAGAAGGCGTATTTTCTTCTGTTTAAGCCATTCTGTTGTTGATTTACTTCTATGCTTTGGGTCATTGTCCTGTTGCAACATCCATCTTCTGTTGAGCTTCAGCTGGTAGACAGATGGCCTTAAGTTCTTCTGCAAAATGTCTTGATAAACTTGGGAATTCATTTTTCCTTCGATGATAGCAATCCGTCCAGGCCCTCATGCAGCAAAGCAGCCCCAAACCATGATGCCCCCGCCACCATACTTCACAGTTGGGATGAGGTTTTGATGTTGGTGTGCTGTGCTTTTTTTTCGCCACACATAGTATTGTGTGTTTCTTCCAAACAACTCAACTTTGGTTTCATCTGTCCACGGAATATTTTGCCAGTACTGCTGTGGAACATCCAGGTGCTCTTGTGCAAACTGTAAACGTGCAGCAATGTTTTGTTTGGACAGCCATGGCTTCCTCTGTGGTATCCTCCCATGAAATCCATTCTTGTTTAGTGTTTTACGTATTGTAGATTCGCTAACAGGGATGTTAGCATTTGCCAGTGACTTTTGTAAGTCTTTAGCTGACACTCTAGGATTCTTCTTCACCTCATTGAGCAGTCTGCGCTGTGCTCTTGCAGTCATCTTTACAGGACGGCCACTCCTAGGGAGAGTAGCAGCAGTGCTGAACTTTTTATAGACAATTTGTCTTACCGTGGACTGATGAATAGCAAGGCTTTTGGAGATACTTTTATAACCCTTTCCAGCTTTATGCAAGTCAACAATTCTTAATCATAGGTCTTCTGAGAGCTCTTTTGTGCGAGGCATCATTCACATCAGGCAATGCTTCTTGTGAAAAGCAAACCCAGAACTGGTGTGTGTTTTTTATAGGGCAGGGCAGCTGTAACCAACACCTCCAATCTCATCTCATTGATTGGACTCCAGTTGGCTGACATCTCACTCCAATTAGCTCTTGGAGATGTCATTAGTCTAGGGGTTCACATACTTTTTCCACCTGCACTGTGAATGTTTACATGGTGTGTTCAATAAAAATATAGCAACATTTAATTCTTTGCGTGTTATTAGTTTAAGCAGACTGTGATTGTCTATTGTTGTGACTTAGATGATGATCAGATCACATTTTATGACCAATTTGTGCAGAAATCCATATCATTCCAAAGGGTTCACATACTTTTTCTTGCAACTGTATATATAGAGAGAGATAGAGATATATAGATATAGATATATCACATACGCCCTCTTGCTTTCTGCCCATCATTAGAGGTTATGTGTAAAGAGCAATCTGCAGGTTTCCATAGTGACTAATCCACGATAACAACTTCGTCCCAGAATTACTCTTAATACATAGCCCCCAATGTGTCCGAGATTGGGGGGCACTGTCTGGCATAAGGTAACAGATAATGCCTGGTATTCTTGGTGGAGGCAGTGAGTCAAGTTGGCGGGCATTATACTGGAGTTAATCTGGCATTCAGAGACCTTACTTTGTCCCCAGTATTTTTTCAATTAAATACATGTTGCAGTTTTGTTTTTTTATAAAGATCCATGTTTTGTGGTTTGCTGTTGCATCCCTTTTATGAGTACAGTATGTAATGTTACATTAATGGAGCCCCACCTGCTTTCTTACTGTGAGATTTTTATTTTTTTGCTGTTAATTGTATCCTGTTATGACAACAGTAAATGGTTTTGATACTTTAATTGTGCCACCTGTTCAACGCAAATTCCTTCCGAATGTGAAGCATGGGAAACTGATCAAAAACAATGGCTAACAATGAAAATACACTATAATCATTTAATATTTATTAAACACCAAGCATGTCAAACTCAGTCTAGCAAGGGCCAAATAAACAAGGTCTAAGTTTGTGGGCCGCAAAAAATAAAATAAAAAAAACCTTAAAATTTCATAGAAACGTAGGTTTATTTTGAAAAGTACGGTATTAAAAAAAACAGCATCCACCTCTACTAAACCACATCACCCCCCATATACTAAATCCCAGCACCCCCCTCTAGCCAACAAGCAGACTCCCCTTACATTGCTGCTGCCAGGATGTGACTCCGGAACCCGGCCTCTGGTATATCCCAAATGGCGCCGTCCGCACGCTGTGCTGAAGCAGATCCTCCTTTTTGAACCATGTGAAGGTGGAGCAAGTCAACGTCATGCACCTCCAGGTCCTCAACTGTCCAGCCGTGGCCATTGCAACACTGACCCACACACTCAAAGAGACACACGTACTGACAGACACACGCTCACTGACACACTCACTCACAGACAGACACACTCTCACATTATTGTAATTATTCTTGGGGTCCAGTGGGGATCTTCTGTCCTGCTCCTCACTGCTCCCTCGCGCGCAGTTTAGTGATGCCGGCACCAGAATATGACCTCATATTCCAGCATCACTACAGACAGCGTGCACGAGGGAGCAGTGAGGAGCAGGAAGACTGATGCTCCCTCACTGCATCCACTGTCCCCTCCTCACCGGCCGGGTAAATTATAGCAGAGTAGGCACCCGCAAGGTGGGGAAGGCAGGTGCCTACTCTGCTTGGAACACTAGGCAATTAGGCATGTACTCGCGGCTCACCGGTCCTCAAAGCTGTCCATTGTGGGCCGCGAGTTTGACACGCTTGTTACGCACCATTCCTACATAAAGCCAGCTCTCCTTTCCCCTGCCCATCCCCCCATTAAATGACACCTTGACACGGTTAGCCATCACTTAGTAAAATGTTTTTTGCCCCACTCTTATATTTGATATTTGTGTGAATGGATTTCAAAGTAAAATAACTTGAGCAATTATTTATTTATTTATTGTAACTTGTGTTAATGTCTTTCAATTCTTTTTCCTAGGTTGTGCGCACAGAAAAGAACAGTTTAAATAATCGTTTCTTACCCTGGGATGAGATTGAAACAGAAGCTGTCCTCTCCATTGATGATGATGCCCATCTGCGTCATGATGAAATTATGTTTGGTTTTCGGTGAGTATTGACATTAACAGAAGAAATACCATTGTCTTCTGGGCAATTTTTTTTTTTTTTTTTAAATAGACATACCTGTCACCTAATATACCTCTGCACTGATCAATAATGAGTGAAAGCTGTATGTGTATTGTTTTTTTCCACTTTGCTTTCTATGGCCATGAACATGCCTTGTATTTTAAGAACACCAGAACACCATAGTGTCAGGGATAACCAATATGTATTCCTGACACCATAGCGTTTTAGGCCCCAAGCCCACTTGCCTGTGCAGAGAAAAGGTGAGTTAAGTCCACCTAAGGTATCCAACCTTCTAACTCTTGGGCTCCCCATGACATTCAGAACACAAAGGGCCTGATAACAGTTGTGACCCCTGTAGTTCCGCCACTACACGTTAAGTCACATGCATTGGTGCAAGCAGTGTTTAACAGGCTGACAAACACAGTTGTTCCAGGCAGAATTCCTAGTTGCCATGGCAAGGGAGTAGAGCAGGGAGATGATAGCCTCCACGCTCAGTTAGCCCACCGCCAGCATGCTTCCCTCAGCTCTCCATGAGCCCGGCCGCCCACCAGCATGATTCCCTCAGCTCTGCATGAGCCCGGCCGCCCACCAGCATGATTCCCTCAGCTCTGCATGAGCCCGGCCGCCCACTAGCATGATTCCCTCAGCTCTCCATGACCGAGCCAACCACCTGTCTCCCTCCCTCAGCTCTTCATGAACCCGGCCGGGCACCAGTATGATTTCCTCAGCTCTCCATGAGCCAGCTGCCTGCCTGTCTCCCTCTCTCAGCTCCCCATGAGCCAGCCGCCCGTCTGTCTCCCTCCCTCAGCTTTATATGAGCCAGCCGGCCGCCTCTGCTCTTACTATATAGCATGCTCTTAGGCAGCCGGGCAGGGCAGCTCAGGGGTTGAATGGACTCACAAATCCCAGGCGCCAGGTCAAATTTCCTGGACGCCATGGTGACTTGGAGTCTGGAATTTATCGAGCCCTGTGTTAATCCATTTCATTTGCCTGGTTTTCGCTGGTGATCTAAGCAATTTTTTGATATATGCGTTCACCCACAATATCCATCTTTTTCATTTATTGCACCAGCACATATTATATACCATTTTTAAAGGACAAAGGGTTCTTTAATTTGATGTGACACATACATATATAAAATATTATTTATTATAAAAAAATACAAAGCAAGAAGGCAAAAAAATTTGGCAACACTAATGTGTGCATAACTAGTGCTGCTTATGAAAAATAATTCAAAATAACTAAATTTCCGATTTGCAGAGTACATTATATGTTGAGGATTTCAGTTTATTTTTGGTAGCTACTGGTAACAAAATACAATTCCAATGTGAAGCGATTTTATAAAAAAGTGTTCTTAAGCTAGACATGGAGACTTTCTATGTCTTCTTCCTGTTCCTAAATGTTATATTTTATTATTGATTAAAAACCTTGATGTGTCATCTACTGATCTGATGCCCATGCATTGTACAAAGCGGTTCCCATATGTCAAATGCTGCAAGAGATACGTGTTCCTTTTCGTACTATGACAATTTCCTTTTGCTCATTATGTATTGGGTTGTCTTATTGTACATAATTTGTTTGTGGATGACCGTCTTGGCATAAAGAAAGAAAGAATACAACCGTATATATTTATATAAAAGACATCTCAAGCTATTTATTGATATTTTTTTTACATTTGTTTACGTAGCGTAGCCATTTAACAGCCAATCTCTGCTAAATATTGTAGTAAAATAGTTTTTTTCTGATTTGTAACATGCACACATGCAACAAAGTTGCAAAACTAAAATTGTGTTCCGCTACATATTCTGAGTACAGCGATAGCCCCAATACCATACACACTACCATGGGGGAAACTACAGTGTCATATAAGAGACATGACCATTTCAGTTTTTACAGTTAGAATTTTGATTATTGGATACGATGGACCCATGTCTCATTTTGGGGTATGGAAAGTTCAAATTACCATGTAAATGCGTATCATTTGTGAAAGACGCTCCAGAGTATCTCATGTGGTGTATATTGTGCCTTAATGTTCCACCATTTCTTCACCGGTTAATCTCAATTTGTAGAAATATATTTATTTTTGCTAGGTATTTTGTAAATCTAATGTGTCACTGTGGTTAAACTTCCCAAATTATGCTTCTCTCCATCTTCTGAGTACAATATCCCTCAATGTGTGCCGTAGACACAATCTTGTGAAGTTACGGAGTCATAAGAGACCACATCATTTCAGCTTTTTAGGAGTTCGATGGCTCTTTGTTTCAGTTTGGGGCCCTGTAGCAGTTTGATTGTTGAAATTACCCCATAAAGGGCCTACCTTTTCTTTCTTTCTTTTTTCCAGTTTGTCAAAGTTTTCAAAAGTTTATTTATTTTTTTAAAGCATGTTGGTTTTGTAAATCTAATATATTCCACTGTGATAAAAAAAATATATATGCTCAGCTACATCTTCTGAATGCAACAATACCCCCAATGTCTGCATTTGTCACTGTGTTGTGCTTTTACAGTGCAATCCATATGAGACGTGGTAATTTCAGTTTAAGAGGTTTTCATATATGGATTTAATGGAGCTATGTCTCATTTTGAAATTTTAGCAGGTTCCTTGTTCAACCTATCCCACAAAGGCTTACCATATCTTAATTTAATGTATTTATTAAAGACTTTCTGTTTGGATAAATTATTCACTTTATGGATGCCACTTTCATTAGTCACTTTTATTTAAAGGAACACTATAGGGTCAGGAATGCAAACATGTTTTCCTGACCCTATAGTGTTAAAACCACCATCTAGCCCCCCCTGGGTGCCTAATGCCTTCATAAATATATCCAAATCTTACTTGTATTCAAGCCTGAAGCTGTAGCTGTGCATGCTGTTTGCCTCAGAAAAACAAGCTGTCTGCTGACATCATCAGAAGTGGTAGCCTGATCCAAACACAATGCTTCCCCATAGGATTGGCTGAGACTGACAAGGAGGCAGATCAGGGGCAGAGCCAGCATGATTCAAACACAGCCCTGGCCAATCAGCATCTCCTCATAGAGATGAATTGAATCAATGAATCTCTATGAGGAAAGTTCAGTGTCTGCATGCAGAGGGAGGAGACACTGAATGTTTGGATGCATTTTAGGCAGCCATGACCCAGGCAGGATCTCTAACAGTCATCTGAGGAGTGGCCAGTGAAGTTATCATTAGGTTGTAATGTAAACACTGCATTTTCCCTGAAAAGACGGTGTTTACACCAAAAAGCCATGATTCTACTCACCAGAACAAATTCAATAAGCTGTAGTTGTTCTGGTGACTATAGTGTCCCTTTAATGTTCTCTTGTGGATCCAAAGATAAATTGTGCTCATTTAAAAACCTCTGAAATAAAGTAACTGCTTAGTAATCTATATACCATACACTCATAGTTATCCTTGTAAAGCTGCACCGATTATATTGGTGTCAGAGTAAATACCAGAATTTATCATTGTAAAAGCTTGAAATTTTGAACTATTTGTCGACTTTAAGTGAAGCCATCTTGCTCCCTCTGCTGGGTACCATTAGAAATGTGCCTTGTTTAATTTTAGGGAAACAGATTTTACATTATCACTAAATGAAATGAAGTATTTTCTGTCCATATATCTGCGTTTCTCTGATTCATCCTCTGTAAGGAACCGTGTCTGTTCTTTGCGATTAAATTGCTCTGACCATGCAGTGTAGGAAACGAAAACAGGACCGCTTATTGTGAAACTCCTCCTGTGCCAGAGCCCCAGGCTGTGTTTTTCTATAAAATAAAAAGTGGTTATTGTTTAGCTGCAAAGGAACACTGTTGTTGATCATTATAATAACACTCTCGCGACTGCAGGGCAGAAAATGTACTTATACACCCTGGGACCGTGACTGGCAACCTCCCTTTGGATAGGAGTGTGTGTGTGTATCTATGTGTATATATGTATATATATTTTTGTTCTGTTTTTTCATTAGAAGTGTGGTGCTGCATTCCATGTGTATGATGAACAAGCGTTGCAGTCAAGCTGGTTTGGTGAAGATGAATTGCAGGCCAGAAGGGTTTTTTATATATTATTTGTTTTGTGCTTATTTATATAGCTCTAGTATATTCCACAGTGCTGCATCTCTTAATCTGACATATGTGAGCAATAGAGGGACTGTGCACCAGCATGTGTGCAATTCACTAGATAAATAGATTGTGTGCAAGAACATGCTACTTGAGCACGTTTTGTAGAATTTGGATGGTTTGACTAGTCAGATTGCCCATGTTTGTCATATTGATATATAATTCCTAAAAAGGAAAAAAGCTGCATATCTCACAATCTTTGAATAATTACATAATTTTAAACTTTTAAATTGACCCAGTTATGAAAAAATGAATACATTTAGTCTGTGAAGTGTTTGTCATTGTTAATAGCCTTTGCACAATAATATATCAAATCATGTTTATTTTTAAATAGGTTGATCAGTTTTCCAACTAATTTTGGTTTCCTTGGGATGTCATCAGAAAGTTTACAGAACCATTACCTATTCCTTGCGCAGTATAGCTGGTAGTTGTCTTGCAAATCACACGATTTGCTGCTGATACTTGTAACCTTGTTTTTGTTGTTTTTTTAATAGTTTGTTTATTTTTAATCGTAATTGTTGCAGAGGGTTTGAAAATTGTGGTACACTTTCAAGATGGCTGTCTCTGCATTGATATGAATATCAGCAAATGCTTTTTCCCGGACCTGCCCATTATGAGAGAAAGTGCACTGTGAGCACCTGTTTAACTGGGCTTGCTAATAGTTGAATTCCAGGGATTTTAAAGGAACACTATAGTATGTTAAAGGAACTATAAGGATGTGGAATTATCTGCCTGAAGAGGTGGTTTTATCAGAGTCCATATAGATGTTTAACCCCTTTCCGTCATTTACCAAAGTACGGTCACAGGGGTTAACGCACCCGGTCGTGCTCTCCCTGCAGCTATGAAAGCTCTTACAGGCTGTTAGAGCGAGCACATGTGCTGCAGGGACTTCTGATCCACCTCCCTGTGCTTCTGCGTTCTGTGTGAAGTGCAGGGAGATGGATTAGCAGTGATCTTCTCCCTGCAAAAAAATCCAATAAAGTAACCGTTAAATCCCACTCCCCTTTCCCCTGCTTTAATAAAATTAGCCCCCTGTCTACCAATTGATCACTGACTGCAGTGATCAATCGGCAGGGACTACATTTTACTGTCATCTGATTTGGTTATTTATTTTTAAACCCTGAGGGTTAATTTTATTTATTTTTTTTAACCCTCAGGGGTTCAATTTATTTCAATAATCAATTTCAGTATTTTAAAATTATATATTTTGCTAGCTCGGGTGGGTGGGAAATTGAAATTGGAATTTACGGTTAGTGCTGCTTACTGCTAGTTAGGGGTTAATGGTAAAATATTTTTTGTAAAAATGTGAGCAACATATGAAGTATTATACAGTCGTAGCACACATAAGGTTTGCAAATTATACTGTGCAAACCCACTTTTTGTGTCAAAAAGACAGAAAAATGCTTATTACCACTACACTTAGTACAAGCTAACGAAAAAATGATCCCACAGTAAGGTTCAAAATATGCCTTTTAAAATACCCTGGGATGTCTTCTTTAAGAAATGGTATGCCTTTATGGTGTAGTTGGAATATGTAGCCTGCTCAAGTGAAAATTCATACTTAAAAACCTGAACTTGTCACGTCTCTTTTACAGCACTGTAACTTCACAAAATAGTGTCTAGGTCAGGCAAAGGCAACCTTCGGCACTCCAGATGTTTTGAACTTCACCTGCCATGATGCTTTGCCAGCATTATGGGTGTAAGAGCATTATGGGAGATGTAGTCCACAACATCTGGAGTGCTGAAGGTTGCCTATCCCTGGTCGAGTTCATACATTGGGTATATTGTTTTACTCAGAAGATGTAACTGAGCATAATTTGGGTGGTTTTATGACAGTGGTACATAAGTGTAAGAAATACTCTGCAAAAATGCAACATATATAACATGCTATTTTTTTCCCCCCTTCACCACAAACATTGACATAAATTGGTGACAAGTTAAGACATAATATACACCATATAAGATACACTGGGGTGTCTTCTTTATCAAATGAAAGCCCTTTGTGGGGTTATTTGAACAGTCACATTTCTATAATACCCTAAAATGAGACATAGGCCCGTCAAATCCATCTACAAAAATTCTAACTATAGAAACTGAAATAGCCTTGCCTCTTATGTCGTCGTAGCTTCATAGAATAGTGCCAAAGGCATACAATGGGGGTATCGTTATACTAAGCAGATGTAGCTGAACACAATATGGGGTTCTGCGCAGGAATAGCACACTCCAGCTTTACGAAATACACATTACAAAAACCTAGTTATATGTGTATATGCCAAAATAGAGAAAAAACACAATATTTAGCAGAGATTGGCGATGAAATGGCTATGTAAAAAGTGTCAAACTAACCTTAGGTAAATAGCCTGTGATGTCTACTTTAAATAAATATCTACTTTTGTGCAGCAATTTTGTTTTCTGTGATGGCTACTAAATCTACAAGACAAACATACCAACTTCTAAAATTGTTTCACACTAACATTTTATTTTAGTCCTTGTATTTTGTGACCTGTAACTTTCAAAATAAGCTGAAATCCTATATATATATAATGTAAGACACATAAATTAATTTATTTTGAATTACTTTTTCTAAGATGGTTATATAATGCACACGCTATTATTGCCAAAACTGTGGGAAAAAGTTTTTTTCCCCCATTTTTTTAAAATTAATGAGAATTTATCTATGTATATGTGACATAAAATTAAACCCTGTTCGCCCTCTAAAAACAGTATATAGTATGTGTTGGTGCAATAAATTACAGAGCTGCAAATTGCATTTGAACACAAACAACAAAAATGGCTTGTGTCCTTAAGGGGTAAGACAAGCTTTTGAAGCTGTCTCCTTAAGGGGTTATACAGCAATTGATAAATACTTGCAAAACATAACATACAGGGATATAATTTCTAATTAGTAAGGTAATAGCTGCTTCATCCAAGGAGATATCTGACTGCTAATTTGAGGTCAAGAAGGAATTGCAATGCTGCTGCCAATTCCATGTGTTCCCTATTAAGGGTTAATAAGCATGTAGGGATGTATATAAAAAATACCCCTTTCTGTCTCATTAGAGATATTTTTGCCAGAAGCTCAAGGAAGCAAGGCGAATGGTTAGAGTTAAGACTCACCTAAGAGGTCTGCTTTGATGTGGCAGGTGGGCATACCCTCTCATAGCCATTGGAGGTAACTAAAAACATCCATTTCTTTAAAAATACATAGGGATGTGGAAAGAGCGCAGGTAACTTTTTTCTTTGATTTTTACTATATGTATTTTGGCTGAGGTGTACTATAGTCATTGCTGCTGCCCAGGAGTAATGGGAGTTTGAGCGCAGGACTAGTTTCTTAGAATTTGTATTCACTTTTGTATCACACAGCTAGTTTGCAATGCTGCTGCCCATCCTATGTGTTCCCTATTAAGGGTTAATAAGCATGTAGGGATGTATATAAAAAATACCCCTTCCTGTCTCATTTATTTTTGTAATTCTGTCTTGCAGGTATGTTTTAGTAATTATGTTTCCCCTCTAAGACCAAGTAATACCCATTTTCAGGGCCATAGTCGCTTAGATCTCTGGGTGTACTGATTTTTGATACTCGTAATAAACACACAGAGCAGTCTACACTCCGGAGGCGCAGACACTGGCAGCATAGGTTGGAATTCTTCCATTAGCTGTCCTTGCCATTACATGTGAGTGCCAGGATGCTTCATTTTGTTAAGACTTGCTTCCTTGGCCAGATATGTGCTGCAGCAGTATTGTACATGACTAGCGAGGGAGGAATTTTGTAGTCTGCATACTTCCCAAACCACACTCTGTACAATTTATCAAGAATGGATGTTTTCAGGTGGAATGTCTCAAGTACATATTTTCTGTGCAGTAAATTAATGACATGTTTTGAGCAATCATGACTTGCCCTTGCTGGTGCAAACATCAAACCTTGAGATGACACTCTGCCCAGATCACGGACTATACATGCATTCATTTCTAATAACCCCTCCTTAGGAGGGACAGTCCCTATTTTTGCCCAAATGTATGGAGTGTGGGTCCCTGACCCAACCATCTGCAACAAGTCAATTTGAGCACCATGAGTTATGTGTACTCCTTGCTCCATTACCATGTTCGACTGCGATATCCCAAGTACCCATTATCTCTCTGAATGTGATAAAAATGTATTTCTCACATTCTAAGGCATTTGGTTTGTTCCATGCGGACAGATTTTGTTTATTTGTCTGTAATTAACAGCCATGACCTTGACCGTTTGTGCAGAACTTAGCCTGTGGCATTTCTCATGCCAGCAGTCTGACACTTTTTTTGGGATGGGCAGCTGTGGGAGGAGGTGTAAGATTTATATGTAACGCAGGAACAATATAATCTAAACCTTTGACACATTATATCTGTTTCATTACATTGTGATAAACATAAGAACCCCCTGCATAATGAAATCCAAGTTCCAACATGGGGTGTTAATTGTTTGTAAGGTAGACTGCAGGAGGTATTGTGTGAATTTCATTTTATTTCCAAGCAATCTAATCTGGCTCCCTCGTGTACCGCTGCTTTATTATAATTATGCAGTGTTAGCTAATAGCCTGCTAATAAATTCATGACTTGAATTTCTCATCTCCATCAAATAACTTTGTAATGATATTCTAAATTGAACTTCGGCAGTTAATTTAAATAACGAGGTTTGGTGCGGTCCTCTTCTCCTTCAGCCTCAAAGATCTTTCAGACGCATTACATCATCGCTTGTCATAAAATTAGAACAGTGCGCCAAGTTTATTGCATTTACCTGAAAAGTGCTGCGTTAGGAAGGTTTGGCAATTTGATGACTTGTGGATGTGCAGTCAAATGACTCGTGTTGGGCATTGCTTTTAAAAATATTTTTTTTAAAATACACTATTTCTGGAGGAGATAGGATTGTGCATGATGTCTCTACTTCTCCATCAATGGATTTATATACTTTGAAATTTCCTGATAATCTCGCTAACACAATGCTATCCGAAGCAGGCAGAGCCCTCCCAGACTTGGAAGATCAGGAGTCTCTCACTGTGGTCCATTGCTAGGTCCTCTGACAAGATTGTTTAAAGAAAGTAGATCTCAAAATCAATATGACTGACACAAGTCAGTAGCCTTTACGGCGCCCTACAATTGCATACATTTGCATTCATTTAACTACTGTATAATGCACTTTTTATACAAACGATAGCTGCAGCATCTGTGCATGTGCTTTGTCATGTTCACCTAGATCATGTGGTCTGGTACCCCTTCTCACCCCCCCAATAATGGACTAATATTAACACTTTCACTTTGCTGTATAAAATGTTTGCTACTCACCTCTCCACCTGCAATATCGGCTCATGTTCTTTTTTCAGACCACCAACATTGTTGCTTGCAGCTATATTTGGGAAATGTTCCAATTAGAAGTCAAAGTGAGCATGGAGACCAGGAACATGGCAGACTGTGCTCTCTAACTTGTACATTGAACATAGGTTGTTCTTTAACTTTTTCCAGGAATCACAGGTTTTTAAACTGAGCAGTTAGTGTGAAAAAAGTTTGTTCCATAGTGACAAGAAGTGAATTCTTCCACGATGTCCTGCACTCAAGTCACGTTTTCTTGCTAATAGAGTGCAGTGGTATGCATGCTTTATAAACTGCAGGAGGAAATGGTTACTAAATCAGCTTGTTTAGAATTTAAAATGTATTTTATTTGGAAGCATGTGAATTATATTTCATTTAGGGCAGCACTTTGAGTGAGGCTGTTAGCATTTAGAAGTGGTATGTGTCCAGTTAATCATAGTTAATCTGGCAACTTTCCTTTATGCTGAAGGATAGCTTTAACTTTGTTCTGATCCTCTGTAGACTATCCGTATTGTAAGCCCGGGGTTTAAATGTCTATTTCTCTTCTTGTAGTGTCTGGCGGGAGGCAAGGGATCGAATAGTTGGATTTCCAGGCCGATACCACGCATGGGACATCCCTCACCAGTCCTGGCTCTACAACTCCAACTACTCGTGTGAATTGTCCATGGTACTAACAGGTGCTGCCTTCTTTCACAAGGTGAGACTTATCTACCAGCTGTAATCTATATATATCTTCTGCATTTATTTAGAATTATCAATCAGAATGCTAATTAAAAGATTACATGGTAATCAACAGTCTGGGTAAACTCTATTAGTTAAAAGAAAAATCCTTAACGTGACTAACTATAAATCTCACTGGTTCTCTTTCAGTACTACGCTTACTTATATTCGTACGTAATGCCACAAGCTATTCGTGATATGGTGGACGAATACATCAATTGTGAAGACATCGCCATGAACTTCCTGGTATCTCATATCACCAGAAAGCCTCCCATTAAGGTACTTTAAACCCACACATTGAAAGAGTTGCACTCTGAGATCAAATCTCTATCTTACTGCAGGGTACTAGTATTGCACAGGGAGCTTTAATATCCACTTATTGCAGGATATCTTTTTGCTGCATTGGTTAATCAACATAAATCTGCTATTTTTGGCAGCCCAAGAGTACACCGCAAGCTTAGGGTGTTTAGAAATCCCTGAAGTGTTTAAATACTTTGTAATTGACTCAAACAGCAGATCCTGGGCTGGTGTCCAAGGATTGCCTGAACAAGTCATGTGCTATCTGTTGGTTTGCTTTGCTCCACTCTTTACATGTTAATAATCACCTACTGAGCTCCAGTCTACAGAAAAATAAAATTTTCAATTCTAAATGTAGTATTTTCATACAATATGATCAAAGTGACTGTTAACCGCTTTAAAACAGTGCCAGGGCTGCCAAGATGCCCATTAACCCTGGTTCACAAACTGGCTAGTATATTGTATTGTTTTGTGTTTGTGATGTGCCAGCATTTTCTACCGGATTCTACAATGGGTAAATTACAAAAAGATATGGATTAACCCTTTGGGTGCCAGAGGTTTGTTTACTGCTATTCTTGTTAGTTTTTCATGGGGGAGATGGTCACCTCTGGCTTTGCGTCAAAATATAAAACACATGTTATATTTATAAATATCCTATCTACCTTTTTTTTTAGTAGGTAGAGGAATCATATTAAAGTAATGTTTTATTGTTTTCAGAATCTGATATAATGGCGGGTGTAAGTGTAATAGCAGTAATTGAGCTCAAACTCTAAACACACGGCTTAAAAAACAAATAAAAATACATTAAGGATTTATATATTCTGTTACTTCATCACACACTTTATCATGGTAATGGCTAGCAATCAATCAGATCACCCGCTGCTATTCTATCCAGTAATATCAGGGACTTTTATCATAGTCACAGCGATCATTCAGATCACACACTGCTGTTCTATCCAGTAATATACTGAGATCAGGGATTTTTATCACAGTCACAGCGATCATTCAGATCACCCGCTGCTATTCTCTCCAGTAATATCAGGGACTTTTATCATAGTCACAGCGATCATTCAGATCACCCGCTGCTGTTCTATCCAGTAATATCAGGGATTTTTATCACAGTCACAGCGATCATTCAGATCACACACTGCTGTTCTATCCAGTAATATCAGGGACTTTTATCATAGTCACAGCGATCATTCAGATCACACACTGCTATTCTATCCAGTAATAACAGGGACTTTTATCATAGTCACAGCGATCATTCAGATCACCCGCTGCTATTCTCTCCAGTAATATACTGAGATCAGGGACTTTTATCATAATCACAGTGATCATTCAGATCACACGCTGCTATTCTCTTCAGTAATATACTGAGATCAGGGACTTTTATCATAATCACAGCGATCATTCAGATCACCCGCTGCTGTTCTCTCCAGTAATATACTGAGATCAGGGAATAGTCACAGCAATCATTCAGATCACCCGCTGCTGTTCTTTCCAGTAATATACTGAGATCAGGGACTTTTATCACAGTCACAGCGATCATTCAGATCACACACTGCTGTTCTATCCAGTAATATCAGGGACTTTTATCATAGTCACAGCGATCATTCAGATCACACGCTGCTATTCTCTCCAATAATATACTGAGAGTAGGTTTTTTTTTTTTTTTTTTTTTTTTATTCTTTATTTTTGAGTGCAAATGATTACAAGTTAACAGCATTAACAAGCTTCATTTTGTTACATGTTTTGAAATAGTAGTATGGAAGGAACCAAACTGCACACTTCTGATATTATAACAGAGAGCTATGAAGTACAAACATGGTGGGTGGGTACGAGTAGTATTAATATCAATATAGTGTAGCTGACTAATTTGTTGGTATGGCTACAATTCGACTTTAGTGTTAGCATTCTGAATCCTAATATCAGGCTTATCTCAGCAGGAAGATTTGATGACCCGCGTCCCCCAGTGGGCCCCAGGCTGGTTGCTTAGTTAGGGAGAGAGCATAGGGTGAGTGTCGGCCAAAGAGCAAGTGATGGGCCCTATGCTATGCACGGGAGCAGAATACTGATTTGTAAGGCCACTGACACCCCATGCCTGCAGTCGATAGAGCCAGGTCTTCTCTCCCACGGGGACGTTCCAGGCTTTGTGGCCCACGTGAGAGTCGGCAGGTCAGTTTAGGGATCGGAAACCGGGCTTCCCACTGGCAAGTGGCAGTGATGACTATGGGTCTAGGGGCTACCGTGTGGGACCCAGATGTTGCGCAACGTCGGGCTTTGCGGTACACTGTCTGTGTGTGTTTTCGTTTTTTTTTCTCGGCCATCCTGGCAAGAGGCGAACCTGTTGGTGCGGAAAAGACAGTGTGTAGCAAATGGGTGTGTAAAAGCAGGTGGACATCACATTGTATGTGGGTACCTCAAGACAGAAGTGGAAACACAAAACTCGATTAACAAGCAAGAAAAAATGTGCATGTGGTAGTATTAGGTGTAGGTGGCCTGGCCCTGCAGACCCGTGGTGAGACCTCAGGTGGTGGCCATCACATATGTTTCAGGGGTGATCCCTCGGAGGACAAATGTATCAGACGTTGCTGGGTTCCACTCATGGGTTTTGGAAGCTGAGCAGGTTTGTTTTAAAGAGTCCTGTGGGAGACCCAGTGTTGTCAGATGTGCCTCTGCCTCCTGCAAATCTGTAATGGAGTACATAGTTTCTCCGTGGAGTACCTGGAGCTTGTGGGATGAGCGCCATTGATACTTGACGTTGTGTGCACGGAGGAGGAATGTAACGGGTTTGAGAGATCTCTGCCAAGTCATGATTCCCCCGGATAGGTCCGCGTAGAAGCTAAGGGCCATACCCTCAAAAGCATATGGTGAGTTTCCCCTGATTGCGGACATCCTTGTCCTGTCGTCTCTGGAATCTAACGATTAAGTCCCGTGTTGCTGCCGCTGGGGCTGTAGCTGGCTTGGGGATTTTCAACATGCCGTCAAAGCTCACCCCATTAACACTCACCAGGCGCCTCTTGAAGTGGGGCAGCTCCGTATCTGGAACTTAGTCTGTTATGCCTCGTATCTTGAGGTTTTGAGCGCGGTGCAAGTCCTCCAATGCCGCCAGCCCCTGTTCAATTATCAGGTGGTGTTGTTGCATTGACTTAAATTCCTGTTGCAGCTGAGTGGCTTGTCGTGTGTGGTTGTGGGAATCCTGCTCCCCATGCAGCCTGTCAGGCCTTGGATGTATTTCCTGATATCAGCCTGTATGTTCCGTCTGAGTTCCGCCAGCAGTTCCTGCATGACTGACTTTGTGACCGGGGTTGAGTCCGGTTGCGGCTTGGACTGTGTTGGTACCAGCGAGGTAGGTGGGCGGGTTTCCTCTGCATCCGAGGTCTGCTCATCTGAGTCATCAAAGTCGCCGTTGATGTAGGCAGCCATATTGGGCTACATCTGCCCGCCGCCAGAGATCTTCTATGCTCACACCTGGCCAGGACTGTTCTTGATTTTGTTTTTTGTTTTCGTACCCACCTCGTTTGTGCTTATTAGAGGGGCCCAGCTTTTACTTTGGTAAAAGTGGATATTTTAGCGGTTTCTTTGCTTGATGCTACGGAGCACATAGAGAGTGACCAGTTGGCTTGGCTGCTAAACTCCGCCCCCGAGATCAGGGACTTTTATCACATTCACAGTGATCAGTCAGATCACATGCTGCTGTTCTCTCCAGTAATATACTGAGATCAGGGACTTTTATCACAGTCACAGCGATCATTCAGATCACCCGCTGCTATTCTCTCCAGTAATATACTAAGATCAGGGACTTTTATCACAGTCACAGCGATCATTCAGATCACCCGCTGCTGTTCTCTCCAGTAATATACTGAGATCAGGGACTTTTATCACAGTCACAGCGATCATTCAGATCACCCGCTGCTATTCTCTCCAGTAATATACTGAGATCAGGGACTTTTATCACAGTCACGGCAATCATTCAGATCACCCGCTGCTATTCTCTCCAGTAATATACTAAGATCAGGTACTTTTATCACAGTCACAGCGATCATTCAGATCACACGTTGCTGTTCTCTCCAGTAATATACTGAGATCAGGGACTTTTATCACATTCACAGTGATCAGTCAGATCACATGCTGCTGTTCTCTCCAGTAATATACTGAGAGTAGGTACTTTTTATCACAGTCACAGCGATCATTCAAATCACACGTTGCTGTTCTCTCCAGTAATATACTGAGATCAGGGACTTTTATCACAGTCGCAGCGATCAATCAGATCACACGCTGCTATTCTCTCCAGTAATATACTGAGAGTAGGTACTTTTTATCACAGTCACAGCGATCATTCAAATCACACGTTGCTGTTCTCTCCAGTAATATACCGAGATTACAGCGCTGCTTATCATACAGTGCTTTCCTGCTCTATCACTGTTTGTCTAACCGATCCACTTTTACATTTAATACATTTACAGTTAGTTCTCTTGATTTGCAACTTTAGAGCTCAACTTGCTTGGTATTTAGTTTATGGAATTATTTCATATGTTGGGAATTTTGCTGAGATCTGCACAGTTGCAGCAGATTCCCTTTCGCTCATTTATCATCTCTGAAAACCTCTATTTGCACTGTTATCTGGAATCCATTTTGTGTCACATGCTTGGCCTGTCATTGTTCATTAAGGAGTTTCCCTGAACCTCTTGTATGTCAGCATTACCAGACCAATGTTTCTCATCCCTTAGAACCAGGAGGGAATAGGTACAGCCATTCTGTATAAACCTGTTTGACCTTCATGTCTTATGTTGTATATTGTGTGTTTGACTCCTTTATATGTGTTTATTTTCTAGGTTACTTCTCGATGGACTTTCCGCTGTCCTGGCTGCCCTCAGGCCCTCTCACATGACGACTCACATTTTCATGAGCGGCACAAATGCATTAACTTCTTTGTAAAGGTGTATGGATACATGCCACTGCTATACACCCAGTTCCGAGTGGACTCTGTTCTCTTTAAGACTCGGCTTCCTCATGACAAAACAAAATGTTTCAAGTTCATTTAACACAATTCTGCTGGAAACGATAATGGGGATGTTTAATGCTGCCCAGATATTGCCTCAAGTGTTCCACTCCAATCTTAAAGAAACCATTGTAAACTATGAATCATTGAATTATAACACTAAAACGCCACATACGATACACTGAAGGACTTTGATTATATATATATATATATATATATATATATATATATATATATATATATATATATAGCACCCAGGGAATAAAAACAATGATGTAATTATTTTTTTTTTTTTAATTGCCATGCAAATAATTTATATTTGCGTGATGGGACTTTTACTGTCTCTATATAGTCTCTTCTATTGGATAACTGAAAAAAATCTGTTTGGTAAGGTATGTGCATGTGGTCGAAGCCTGTAGAACTAGCCTGCACCCAAAACATAATCAATTTGGCAACCTCTTCAAATTAGATTGGATAGGCCGTAGATTTTGTCAAATGTGTCGTCTGTCCACTAAGAGGATCCTTTAATATGGACTTTTCAATAAAGCACATTTATTCTTTTGTAGTCCCCTACCGAAGAAGGAAATCAAGCATTCTCTGTATTTTACATGTACCATTCTGTAAAGGGATCGAACATTCTGGGAAATTTTCCTCCATTACAGTCAACAAGCAGAGCTGAACCCGAGGGAATAGTTAGATATCATGTATAATATCACATCACATCTGCCATTTTTTCTTTTCCAAGTCGGCTTCCACATCGTTAAGAGTATCAATGAATAAATAAAGCACAGAATCACATTTTCCCCACTTTGTTTGTACATTAGTATATTGTTATACAGATCAAGAGGTATAGATTATGTATGTAGAGTCTATGGACTGGTGTTTTCAGTAAATAGGTATTACGTGGGGAAATGATATCTGATTCTGAGAAATCTTAGTATTCCTGAACATACATGCTTGTTATTCTAGAAGGTTAAAGTTTTCAAATCAGTACTGTCCGATAAACATGTGGATATTGAAGGATACAGCCTGGAAGCTTTTTTTATTTTTATTTAACAAAAAAAAAAAATCATAGAATGGCTGATTAATCTAGCCCTGACATGAAATCAACAGCACTGGAAGCACATTCAACAATTCAACTAGGTAGCAAATGACTATGTACAATATGTGTTTGCTGGCAAGATGCTACCGTTAACCTCAAGGTATAGCACCTTGAAATATACAATCTGAGTAACTGTGGTATGTTAGAATTTTGCAATTTTCTGTTGATGTAGTTAAACATTTTTATATATGAAAAAATACAAACATGCTGCTACTTCTAGTATATGTTGTACTAAAGTTGAAAATGAGGCTTATCTGCAAAGTAATTTATAATAAATCTGCAAATTCTAATACCAAGGTTACTCAGATTGTATACTTTTTTTTTTACATTGCCTTTATTTCAATGTAAACAAGATTTTATAATATTGGTTTCCAGATATAGAAAATTCTCATTTAGAATCTTTTTGGAGAGAGAAAGAGATTGTTGATACGTTTCATTTAGAAAGGAAGCTATACCAATAGAAAGAGAGGATAATACATTGTGAATCAGTTTCACCCATAAATTTAAAATAATTCCGTCACGTTTTACAAAACTACAAAATGATACCTAGCGAAATGCATTGCAATGTCTTAACTTGCTCTAGTAGTAAGGTATGTTCTTAGCTCCCGTGCAGCCTTTTTATTTAGTTTTTGTGAATTCTTTTAGATTTTGTTCAGGTCCTGCACATATTTGTTGATTCACAGGATTGTGCCCACTTTTGTGCTAAAGCAGAATTAAGATGGAACCTAGAGTACAATTAGAATATTGTAGCTTCTACTGTAATCCTGTAAAGATCAAGCACAAATCTTTTACTAATGCCCGTTCCCCTTTGAATAGTCCAATACAAAATTTGCAATCAAGAATGAACAGTCTCTTTGCCACCATTTGATTTTTTTATTATTTTTTTATGTTAAAATTGTGATTTTTATGGTTTAATTTTCAACTCTCCCTTTTGTTTTTGTTAGGTTTCTTGTAAAAAAAAATTGTATTATTCTGCAGTTGTTTACATATATGCGTAATTTTTGTGAGAATCTGGAGTACAGTTGCTGAGATTAGGGCATTTAATCTCCTAGGGACACCAAGGTTTACATTTTCAGTTCAATGACATTTAGACCGTAGTAATATATACACTGATGGATGTCTTAATAAAGTATCTTCTGGGTTGTTTTTATTGTGGCTGTTTTGCAATTTAATTTGGGACTAGTTAGTAGGGAATTTGGACATGTGCAAATCAAACAAACCATATGTTCCTCTCTCGTATGTGAAGATGTTTTTCTTTTAAGTAAACCTGCCTCCTTTGTACAACATTTACAGGGTTATTCAGTAATGTGAGAATTGAAAGTGAATTTTACATTTAAAGACTGAAAAAGTAGCTGAAATTGAAGTATAGTTGACTGATCTAAAGTTTGAAATTCAATTTCAATTCTCACTCTAGTGAATAACCCTTTTAATTTACCACCTTTGTGATCTTTTCTTGAGAAGAGGGCAATAGAAGGAGAAAATAAAATTGAGGCCACACAAATTGTATGGAGTGACCTCTAATCTCGTGGAGACCATTTATGATTAGAAGCTAAAAGAGCTGGAGTTGAGGTGGTAGATGCTATAATGCCCGTGGTTTTCTTGTTTTCCTAAAATACTGATTGAAAGGTTATCTTGGAGTTTTCTAATATTGCATCACATTTGCTTTTAAGTTCTCATACACAACCATTACCAGTGTTCTCTTTAAACAGCATTTTAAGGTAATATAATTATAATATTTAAGGTACATATAGTCTAAACTATAATTGAATAGTCTGAAATACATCTTCTATTTAAATTCAATAAAACACAATTTACTTAAAGGGACACTGTAGGTACCCAGACCACATCTGCTCATTGCATGAGGACTTCCTGTGTTGCCGGAGTCCCCATAGGAAAGCATTGAACAATGCTTACCTATCGGGAGGTCTCAAGCGCGTGTGGCCATTGCTGCGCCTGCGCATTAGGTAACCCACATCCGCGGGGGTAGGAGTGTGGGCGGAGTTTGACCCAGCGCCGAGGGACATTGGCACAGGATTCAGGTGTCTGAAGGGGTTTTAACCCCTTCAGCGACATGGGAGGGGGGCACTCCAGGATTCGCTAGTGCCAGTAAAACGGCTTTGTTTTCCTGGCACTGGATAGTGCCTTTAAGCCTTCAAAATTAATTTGTGATGATCAGTTAGGAAATCTGAATGTGTTTGTGGGAAGACACTTAACAAGAGTAATGAGTTTTCTCTGATTCAAAATGAATGCATGTGTTCACCGGTATAAAATTATTGCACTTGGGTTTTTAAACACTTGTTCTGTTTCCAGAAATTGGAACCAATTCAAAACCAAATAATCTACTGGTTCTGACATTGTAGACAATGTAAGCCTTCAATGGCTTACATGCATTTTATAAATAATTCTTATCACCTTTGTATTTGTACAAGCATTGGTGAAAACAGGGCTAAACACCTGCATCAGGCAGCCATGTCATGTTGCAGGATGCTGACCCACTGGTGTATTCATTATATAATGAGATGATTGTAGTTCAGGGTTATCACCCTGAATTTGGTAAATATGTTGTGAAAGAAGCACACTGCATTTCTCATATATTTCCCCAAATTAACATGACTGTTATGAGTTAATGTTTTTCTGTGAACATATTTATATAGTGTTCACATACAAATGCTTGTTCACTATTTTTTGGATGATATTTTATCCTTTAGATTTATTTTAGTCTAAATGTTTGCGATGTCCTAAAATGTCTGATGTTTTTATGTAGCTATGTATTAGTTATAGAACAGAGCTTATCTGTGCTCCTGCCCTGTAGTCTTCAATCTATATATGTGAAGATGATGTACCCCATCCACCAGGAGATAAGTTATAAGAATATATCCCATTCTGGGTAACATTCTTAAGATGCCTGACCCGTACCCTTCCCACCACATGGGTGGCATCCAGTTATAGAGCGTTGATACCCTTTAGGTCTTCTCAAGCATCTGTGCTAATAATGAATTGTACGCTGTGGTGGATATGTATAAAATTAACAGACATTTATTATAAGCTCAAGTATTATCCCCCTTCTCTAGCCAGGCAGCAGACACAAAGCTGACATTGCCAAGATGATTGGGGAGGGTCCAACAAGTCTCTGTGTCGTTGGAGCTTCTAGAAAAACATTGTCTTCAGGTGGTACAACATGCAATGGTCAGTACTGTAATGAAACTCTTGCTTATGATGTTTACCTCCTACAGTGGCCCCATCTGCTTGGATGACCTCTTCATTCTCCGTATTCGTAGTAGCATGGCAATACCACTAGGTACTTGGGTCTGTAGCTAGCGTTATTTTACTTTGCCTTCAGTGCCCATAGCTGTATAACTTACCGGTTGTAAACCTAACTCTCTTATTAATCACATGCTGAAAGCCAGAGAGAGAGAAGGCACTGTACAAGACCCCTTAAAACCCAAATAACTGATGACCTAGAGTCATTCAGATTTTATCAAATTCCATGGATTATTTTAATCTTTACCAGGAATGTTCATTAACCTTTCATTATAAGTCATCATTACTGTCTTTAGTATTAATTTAAGGCTAAGTGTAAAAAGGGATTAGCACAAATCCTGCTTTTATGGTGATCATGCTCTACATTTCAGACTAATTACTCCAAGCACAGCATTAATTTGCAGGTGACTTCTTTTTCATGTTCTGCAAGTGGCACTTTTTTATCCTTAACAGCATTCACCAGTTCAGATAATATAGCTATTGTGTGCTAAAACTTTCATAGTGCTCCGACAGATAGATAGATGCCCTTACCCTGGGGCTGCCCAAAAGGTAGGTCCCCAGATGTTCTAAAACTACAACATCCATGATGCTTTATCATTCTAAAAGCATCATGGGAGTTGTAATTCTACAACATCTGGGCATCTACCTTTTGAGCACCCCTGCCTTACTATTCATCACCTGTGGACTACACCTTACATGATACTTAGAAAGATTTACAATCCAAACTCTATAAAGTACAATTATTTCCATCAAAATATTATCATAACTCTAGTAACAATTATTCGTAATTTATAATTTTGCTCTGTCTGCCTATACTTGCCTTTGAGAGTCAGGCGGAGGAGAGGTGAGTTTAAAACCCATCAATGTACAGACTGGGCTATGAGTCAGTAATAGTGCTTTACCCAGAATAAGTTCAGTATATGCCGCTATCTGTAAATTTTTTCTGATATGCCGCCAAGCCTTACAGGATGGTATAGTTCTGGTAGACAGGAGGTTGTGGTGGGAAATATTTACCCATGCTTTCCCATAATGAAGGAGCAGAAATCCTGCCTTTTGATCCTCATTCCTTTATGCATTCCTTTATGCACTATGCATTGAACACTTTTGCCAGACTTGTCCTGGGCAAGACAATAGTGCAAGTGAGATGAAGGGTGTAAATATAAATGTTTACTTACGGACAAGATGCTCCTCAGTTTTACCTCTGTTTGATATTCAACTTAACCAAATGCAATATTCCCAACCTTATACCCCAGGATGTCAAAGCCCAAGGGTAGACAACTTCCGTCACTCCAGATTTTGTGGACTTTTAAGAGACAACATCATACATTAAGATGTCTATAGTTATATTGTGAGAAATAACATTATTTCCAAAGCTTGTGTACCATTCTGCTACATATCCCTCGCAGTATAAGTTGAAAATGTCCGTGTTCTGCCTCAAGCCAACCACAGCTTTTTGGGGGGCCAGAAGCAGGGTGGTATCTTATGGAACTTGCTGCATGATGGAGGGAGGGCCTTTCTCCATTTCCAATTTACCCTGCTTGTACAATTCAGCCTTCCCTCTAAAAACACCAAATGGTTGGGGGGGCAGGGCCTGACCGCCAAGCAAACAGGACGCGGGGTGAGGGAGCTCCTTAGATAAACCTGTGATATAAGATCATAAACCGAGAAATAATTAGTTTGAGCAGCTGAAATCGCCTCATGACTTGTGGAGACAGCATTGACAAATCTCCTAGACCAACTTGCTACGCTTTGCTCAACGTTTGAGGGGCCTGAAGCTCCTTGCAGCCTGCTATCTGATCTGGGGTGGGAGACACTGTCAATCTCCTGCCTTATTCTCGACACGCCTGCAGTCTGGGCCACGTTTCTCCCCCTTTGGACCGGCAGGGGTTATCCCATTCCCTGCTGGGGTTGCAAACACAGCTCCTGCAAAGATATACCTGAGTGAGTAGCAACGCTCCTGATCCGTGACCTGGCTACACAAGATGGCCAATGCACCCAACTCACCTCTGGCATTCCGGGGATGCCGTCTTCGAGCTCTTCTGGGCGAAACTTGAGGCCCTCTCAAGAATGGCGGCACTGGCTGCTCAGACAGCATGGGAGACTCGGAGGCGGCATGAAGAGGAGTTGCAGAGGCCCTGGCCGGGCAACATGGTTCCAGACATAGCGGCAACCAAACGCGCATGTCCACCCGGGCAGAGACCCACCAGGAGTATGGCAGCAGCACAACATCCCTGCGGGCGGAGAGCCGCTAGATACCGTTGTCGGAGGTTGCGTCTACGATGCAGTCGAAGAGCCTTGCACTGCTTCCCACACGGGAGCCACGGGGACTTACACTACTCACCATTGTTATGATGCACTGCCCGAATGCACAACCCGTGGCTAATGCCTCCAAGTTGAATTTTTAATATAATTTTTATGGTTATTGTTATGTGTTCTTGTGCCCGTAGATATTATTTTAATGAAATAGCCAGGCAGATATCCCAGACCACCAGCCTACCTAGAAGATATTCTTCTTGCTGCTGCAGATATATTTTGGCTAAGGATAGGCATGATAGTTCATGCAGTGTCTTAAAACCTGTTTTTATTATATACCCTGACACCGCGAATAATACCCAGCAGCTACTAAGCTACATAATTACCTTAGTGGAGCATATTACCTTACCTTCTTCTCTTTGATTACATTGTCAGCTAACGCAGTATGTCTTAATTATTCCTCTTGCCTTCACGATATATAACATTGCTTACATTATCCTGTTTATTACTAAAAAATGTGCAGTTCAACCACATGCCACAGTATTATGCCTTTTGAAATGCCTGTGTCTGCTTTCGTGGCAGCAGAAGCTTGTCTGTCATACTTACACATACACAACAAAAACTAAAGAATTTAAAAAAAAAAAAAACACCAAATGGTAGAAAGGAAGGGATATAGGCCAGTCTGGTTCCTTCTCATATATCATGTGACAGCCAAGGCACCAGCAGCGCATCCAGACAAATCCTCCAGTATTCCTTGGCATTGTGCTGCAGACATAGATCTTTAGACCAGTATTTCCCAAACCAGTACTCGAGAACCACTAACAGTCCAGGTTTTGTCACTATTTACCTTGGAATAAAACAGAGAGATACATGGATTGTTGATGGGCCATAAGGACTGGTTTTGGAACCACTGATTTAGACCAATCTTTCTGGTGGGCAAAAGGTGTTCCCTCATAATACAAACCTGTGTTCTTTGACTTTGAACTACGTTTTTATTGCCAAATAGTGAAGGGTATCACGGAAGTAAACACCTCCTTAGAAATAAGCCCCTGACACAAGTGTATCTATAGAGCTCTTTAAAGGGACACTATAGTCACCTGAACAACTTCAGCTTAATGAGGTTGTTCAGGTGAGAACTATAGCTCCCTGCAGCTTTTCTTATTTTCTGAGAAAATACAGTGTTTACATTGAAAGCTAGGAACTCCTCCAGTTGCAGTCACTCAGAGTGAACCAGAGGGACTTCGGAGTTGATGGAGACATAATATGCCTCCATCCACTCAGATCTGCTGTCAGCAGAGCACAGGGCAGCATTGTGCACAGCATCCAGTGATTCAGTATCTCCTCCCTCTGCATGCAGACACTGAACTTTCCTCATAGAGATTCATTGATTCACTTCATCTCTATGAGGAGATGCTGATTGGCCAGGGCTGTGTTTAAATTAATGCTGGCTCTGCCCCTGATCTGCCTCTTTGTCACTCTCAGCCAATCCTATGGGGAAGCATTGTGATTGGATCAGGCTACCACTTCTGAAAATGTCAGCTTGTCTTTCTGAGTCAAACAGCATGCGGATTTACAGCTTCTGGCTTGAATACAGTAAGATTTTTACTATATTTATGGAGGCATGAGGGGCCCAGGGGGCTAGATGGTGGTGTTAACACTATAGGGTTTTGTCTGGCCATGGATTCAGGGTAAGTAAAAAATATATATCTATATTTTTATTTTATTTATTTTTTACAGATTTTACTGCTATTGAAGCAGAGGGACATTAACCACATTGCCCAATGGATAATTTTACATAGAAAAGATACCCCACACCCTCCAAAGGGTTAAAGTAACCCTTTAATTTTCCATATATATTTTCTGTATTTTATTTCCAGAATCCTCTATATAGGTCACAACATTCTCACAAATTATTTATTCAGCTAGCAAGAAAAAAATATTCTATCCGGTTTAAGAACACACAATAACAAAATCAATATTCCCATCTCTACACAGTAATTAATCTATGTAAGAAACTGCAGAATAGTCATTTTGGCTAAAACAAAAAGGCACAAACCATCTTTACCCATTGTCAGCCTATAGTGGCATTGTGACAAATGTATTTGTATGTTTCAGATTTAGAGTCCTGTGTTTATAAATGTGCTTTTTTATCATCTGTTCCCCAAACATACATAGAAAGGGAAACTATAAACAATTCTAATTATCTAATTTATCCACAGTAAGCAACCATATTATTAACATTGAATTTTTATAGGATCCTCAGTAGGTACTCCTTACCAACTGCATTAAATCAGAGCTTATTCTTTTGCTGAGGGGAAGCCAGAGATAATTATTATTGAAATGCCATTTTGTCAACACAACTGTGAATAATTGATGTTAACTGTTACTTCTTTTACAGATACAGATTAATGTTATTTTAAATAGAACCTTATATCCCAAAAAATAGACAAGACATATGACGTGACCCCATGCAGATACCTGGAACTGCACACCTGAAGATAATGGGTGCTTCAGTAGGAACCTTTATGCCAGGTAGAAGCACTCTACCACCCAGTTCAGTGGAATTAGGGCTTGCTTGACCTCAATATTGTAGCTCGTTTGTTGGTGCTACCATGATGCAACCAACGGAAAATGGCTTCCTATGAAATGGAAGGAATCGGCATATTTCAACCAACAGAAGATGGCTTCCTATGAAAGAGAAGGAATCGGAATACTTCAACCAACAGAAGATGGCTTCCTATGAAAGGGAAGGAATCGGCATATTTCAACCAACAGAAGATGGCATCCTACGAAAGGGAAGGAATCGGCATATTTCAACCAACAGAAGATGGCTTCCTATGAAAGGGGGAAGGAATCAGCCTACTGCAACCAACAGCAGATGACTTCCTATGAAAGGGAAGGAATCAGCATACTTCAACCACCAGCAGATGACTTCCAATGTAAGGGAAGGAATCGGAATACTTCAACCAACAGCAGATGGCTTCCTTTGAAAGGGAAGGAATCGACATACTTCAAAATGGAGCTTCTGATGCATTCCTATAGTCCATCACCTTTATATGCCTTTCTGTTTAGAATGATGTTAACACTATGTCATCCTTCAATAGAGGTATTAAGTACATAATGAAGTACAATAATAAGTGATATGGCTGTGCTATGCGAGGAACTCTGCCATTATTGAGAGTGGTAAATCGCGGAAGAGGATCCGGGGACCTGTTGGGATTTGAGAGTGCAGCAAACATCCACTACATCTTTTATTTTTATTATTTTTTTATAAAGTGCCACCAAATTCTGCAGCCCTGTACAATAGGTGGATTAACATCATCCACAACCTTATCCTTAAGGACAGAGTCAATTGTACAAGTTCTAATCAAAACCTGGAATTTGCGCTATAGGTCTGTTCGACCATAATTCACCTCTTTCAGATTACGTGCACCCACACTTATTATATATTAGGTTGTTTATATCACATGTATATATAAAACACAATTTAATATGAATAAATTGTTAAAAAAAAAGAAATTAAGAAATTTTGTAATTTATCAAGTTCTGACATGACATTTTAACTATCAATATATTTTTGCAATGACAGCCTATACGTCATGTTATTCACATATTGACTTGTGCAAAAACCGCTTCTCGTGCAGTTAAAAGTAACACATCACAATACCAATCTACAGTGTGAGTTTTGGTAAGCATAGTTTGATACATAATGTCAAAGGGTTTTACATTTTACAAAAACAATATTAAAAGATTAAAACAAAACAGTTAACCTGTAACATAGTTGCGTTGCTTGTCTGCTTCTTTTCTGTTTTTGTCTAAAATGATACATCCCTTCCCGCCCCTCCCTTACCCTTATTGTGGGTGCCTCAGCAATCTGTTTTTTTCTCATTTCTCCTGGGAGTCCCCCCACATCTTGACACCCCAAGCGTCCACCGGCCAGGTCTCCTTTATGGGCTAACAAGCTGTGACCCCGACCAACAGTCTCAGGGGGAATCCGAGAGGCGGAGCGGCCGGCCTCTCCCCAGGCCCATCCCGCCCTGCTGGGCCCAACTCCCATCTCAGTTGTCACCCATTAATCTGTCCTAAAGCAGGAATCGAGTCTCTACTAGTCTGCTATGTGGAGTGGAGTGGGTGAACGTGCCTCCCTCATCAGAGCGGGTGTCCCTCGGCACTAAGCAGCATTGCCCCTCTCCCAGAGACTCTGCACCTCCTGCCCTCCTGTCTACCTCCCGCTGTGGATGTTGTCTGCCCTGTTATATGTTGTTTTGCTACTACAAGTCCCACACCTTATGTAAAGTTTTGGTGGTATTGCAGACCAGCGATGTCAGGTTGTCTATTAGGCAATTGTCCCTAATCTTGGTAAGAACTATTGGGATAGTCGGCAAGTCTGGGCTTATCCAATTTTGTGCTAGAGATCTCCTGACCGCTAAGTAAATCATATTAAGTAGTTTTTGTTCATGTCTAGGTACACCCTCAGTGGGTCTGGACAACAGACACGCCCATGGGTCAGTTGTCAGCCATCTTTGCATAATTTTAGAGATCAGGTCTACCACCTTCTCCCAGAACTCTTTCACCTTGGGTCAGCTCCACCACATGTGTATGTAGCTTCCCTTGTCCCCGCACAATCTCCAGCATGTGTCCATGGGGCTTAATTTCATATGAAATTGTTTGACGGGGTAGTGTACCATCTAAAAAGCATTTTGAATGATTGTTCTTGCAGTTTCACACATATGGAGGATTGTGTGCATGCCTCCCATATGTCCTCCCAGTCTACACCCTCCAGCACCTAACCCAGATCGGCTTCCCACTGTTCTGTATATCTCAACCCTCCCCTAACAGCTGAAATCAACCCCAGGTGTCTCCTTGAAGCACATCTTTTCGTCATGGGGGTGTGGGTTGCCACTTTAATCTCCTGTAATCTCGGTCTTTCGAGAAAAGTCCCTTATTTGGATATACCTAAAGTAATCTCTAGTCCATAGGGGGGTCTTTTCTTTTACGTTTTCATAGATAACTATGTCTTTGTTTACGTATAAATGTACATATCTCTGTAGTCCTACGTGCTCTAGGCCCTTAAAGTCCTGTGCTCTCGTTCCCGGCGGGAAGGCCCTATTTTGGAGTATTGGAAATCTTGGGCTCATAAGAGCGTATTTTGTGGCTGTCAAGTCCCAGATCTGGAGGGAGTTTAGGATTGCCGGACAACTGGTCCTCAGAAAGGCTCTGTGTTCCTTGGGGACCCATGTAAAGAAAATAGACTGAGTTCTGTATTTTCTTCTATGTTCGTGCTTTTCTGCACCATTTCGTTCATTTTGGATTTATTGGTTCGGCAGTTTAAAACTACCGAACACCGACCACCCTCCTGGCTCATTAACTTCAAAAGAACCGTCTATTAAGCGCTTTCTGGGTGGCTTCGTTCGTATAGCCGAATGCCATGTGGAACAGAAAATGGTGGCCATCTTGTTTGCACCAAAGGAGGCAGCGGGACTTGGTCGTCGAGTGTCTGGAACTAAAATCGGACACTCAACCTCCCGAACCACCGCTGAAACTACCAAACGCCTGCTTCCTTTAGTTGCCAAACAGCCAGGAGAGCGCCATTCGGTAGTTTGGTTTATACGAACAAGGGGAGCAATCGCTCCTATGAGCCAGGAGGATCCATTCAGGACTTTATTCGTTTTTATGCCATTTACTGAATTGACCGAATGCACACGCTGAATTCGTGGAACTGTTTTGGGCAGGAGCTTCGTGTGTGGTCGGTAACTTATGACTTCCATACGTTTTGAGAACCCCTGAACCGATCTGGGTGAAATTTGGATATGTTGGTCCCCCAGATTTCTGGGAATACTTTGTGTGTAAAGGGGTGTTCTAATTTTTGGGAAAATTGTGTGTTCTCTGCCTGGAGATAATTGAGTTATTCCTTAACTTATCTCAATATCTCCCGGGCAGGGGTTACTGTAAATCTGTATGTTGATTGGTTATTGTCTTTGTTTACTGTGGGGTGTCCTCTTGCAGGAGGATTCTCATAAAAGCCAGCGTGGCCTCAATAAAAATCATTCCTGTTACACCCTTCATGAAGTCTAGGCTCATGCTTGGGGAATATTCTACTTGTTGGGGAGAATCGTCTTGGAAGCTGCATTCATCTACACTATTCCTCTATCTCCTAACTGCAGTTATAATCACTTATGCTCAGCTATTGGGAAAGGAATAGAAGACCACAGTACCATAACCACTGCAGGTCTTAACAACCCACATCATGTATTAGGGTAAATATGCTCCTGTCAGGAGTGATTCAATATCCGTGAACAGAAAAGGATAAGTTGGTGGAGCCAGTGATGTGGAAGAAAAATGCAGGCAAGCCACTGTCTAGAGGTCACTCGCAAGCTCAATATAACAAAAAACACAACTGAATATAGTATTAGATAACAGGGTGCCACACTCACTTTAGTTGCCAATGAGATTCCCAACAAGAGGAAACAGTCAATAAAAATTTAACATTCAATTTATTGAAGATCAAAATAAAATCAAGATTTAGGCAATAGCACAATACATGTGCAAAATTAGAAAAAAAAACAAAACCCTAGGGATAGCAGCTTTAATAAAACATGATTATGGTATAACGTGCATGTGCTCAAGTGCAAAATAGAAAAGTGTAGGGTGCTTGTCAAGAAGCTCAGATTGGCAGCTAACTCCCACTACTCTTTCACAGACTGTAGTAAAGGCACAATAGTAAAAGCACATATCACAAAAAATATATACACAAAAAACATGTAAAAAAGATTGCTTATACCAAATAATAGGGTTCTTGCTGGGGCTCTATGCGTTTAGTCGATCTGACTTCCTCAGTAGATTTATCTTCTCCTGGTTTTCTCTCTTTTAAATTTACCGGTCCGTGCGCCTCGTTCTGTGATCGCGCAACAGACGTCGGATGCATCGTCATACGTAATGATGAGCGGGCGACCTGTATGCGCATGCGCGACCACTCTGGAACGCAAATAAACTTTATGGATAATTTACACAGCCGCATTTTGAACGTTCTAAATGAGAAACGTTTAGTATCACTGCGGTCTGAATTTACAACCCTGCCTAAAGGCAAACTGCATTCTGACAATAGAAACTAACATCCTTAAGGCTTTACAAATAGAACTCTGATTCTTGTGCACAGTCCTATTTGTATAGCCTTAAGGATGTTAGTTTTTATTTTTGCGCCCGTATGTTCGTGTATAAAGCTCTGATTGCTGTAATATATGGGTCTGGGAAGCCCAGTGTTTGAAACACTGCATATAAATATGGCCACTGTATCCGATCAAAGGCCTTCTCCGCATCTAAAGAGATTGCCACATTAATACTGCCACCTACATGTATTTTCGTACAATTGTATGCCTGGTATGAATCCCACCTGCTCCGGATGTATCAACCTGGTTAGAAGTGGTGTCAGTCTAGTCGCCAAGACCTTGGCGAATATCTTCATGTATGTGTTAATGAGGGAGATCGGTCTGTAGTTAGATGCGTGTGTGTTGTCTTTCCCTGGCTTTGGTATGAGAATGATATTCACCAATGCCACGTCCGCGTCTTGTGTGCCGCCCAGCATAAAGTGGTTGCATAGTTTAGTGAGGTAAACTCCTTTCTAAAAGTTTTATAGTATCTGACATCATACGCATCCGGTCCTGGGGCTTTGTTCCCTTTTAGTACCGTGGTTGCTGAGTCTATTTCGATTTGGGTTATGAGCATTTTCAGGTACTCCTTGTCTCCCTCTGTCATCCCCGGCAAAGCCAAGTTGTTGAGATAAAGCTGTAATTCTGTGAGGTAATTAGTTTTGTCACTGTTGAGTTGAGGAGAGTGGTTGTATAGTCCTTTGTAAAATTTGGTGAAAACATTAATGTGTTCTGACGTGGTGGCCATTTCACCGTTGCCATTGCGGATTTTTGTGATGTGTTTCACGCCGCTTCTTGGGTTGAGGTTTCTAGCTAAGAGGATGTCCATTTTGTTAGATTTTTTTGTAGAACAAATGCTTGAACCATAGTAGGAAGCGAGCCATTCCCTCCAACGATAGTTCCTTAATGGAGTGTCTAATTGCGTTAATTTCTGTGAGTTTGGAGGGAGCGGAGAAACATTAGAGAAGAGCAGACGTGCCAACTCAAGTTTTAGGCCTCATGCGAGGAAA